AAGCCAGATTTTAGTAGCTCCTGACTCTACTCCTACCTACTACCCAGGAGGTACAGATCGGAGGATCAGGGCTGAAGGCCAGTCCAGACATAGATGAGATGAAAATAGGAAGAAGTATAAATAGGGAGAGTGTGGTCCAGGCCAATCTCCGCAAAAAGCCAAATCTTATCTTAAGAATAACTGGAAAAGGTCTAGAGGCATGGGTTAAGCATCGGAGTGCTCGGTGCAAAGCCCTGAATTTAAACCCTACTGATGCCAAAAACAAACATGGGAGAGACAGAACACAAATGCAATTTGAGATCAGGATGATATAGTCTTTGTCATAACTTGAAAGATAAATCTATCCACACATAGTGCTCAAAGGCACATGCTTAGATGAAATTGACTAAAAGCAAACACTTGAAGAATTTGGGGAGAGTAATGTCAACATTGGATGTAGAAGGTAAGTTCAGAAACTGTTTTAACTGTCTTTTGCTGAAGATTATTTATCAAAAATGTCGTTGGAGATTTCTTCCCTAGTACTAGACAAATGATGATAAAACTTTACATGGAGCAGAATCACAGGAAGCCCAGGTCTTAAAGCACTATGTTCCTGATTCTGCAGGTTTAATCAGACAATTTATTTATTTATTTTATTTCCAGAGCCTTGACCATGCTAGGCAAGCATTTAATCCACACCCTCAGCCCCCAAATTTTTCATTTTTTAACATTTAACTGCTAATACAAAAATCCATACTTTGAAAACAATTGTGGCAGTTGACAGATATTTGTCAAAGTGATAAGTTGGCAGGACAGAACTAACTTCCTTCCTTCCTTTCTTTTTCTGCCTCTTTCTCTCTCTTTCTTTTTTCCTTCTCTCTCTCTCCACCTTTCTCCGCCCCCCCCCTACTTTTTTTCCCCCAATACTGGGGTTTGAATGTAGGGTTGCATGCTTGCTAAACACTTTGCCACTGAATTATATATACCTCCAACCCCTAGCAGGATAAATTTTGAGGAAAGAAGAATGTAAGCATGATATATCTGATCCAACAACAAACTGGCATAAGACTCGGGAGTAGAGATTCTTGGTTGAAAGTAATGGAATGCATTTCTTGAATTCATTCCTGGTATAATCTACCTGGATGCATATTTAATTCCCACATTTAAAAGGGATTGCATAAGCAAAATTAAGAGAACTATTTCCTTAACACGATGGCCTATTAGGGCTACAATAAAAAGGAAGAGGTTATTTCCCTCTGTTCCCAAGCAGGCATCTCTGCCACCACCAGGACAGTTGAGCATCTGCTAAAGCAGCATGGAGTAGATGCAGCACCTGGTAGAATATCACAGGACTGGCTTTGTTTGTGAACAGGTGTGGACTCCTCATGGGGTGTAAGGAAATAATTGAGCCAGGGATGTACTTTGCAGGAGGTTGGACTGTCTGCAAGCAGTTGAAAGCCAAAGCCAGGGCAATTTGGGTTACATGGAAACTCTTGATTTTAACTCAGAATTTTCTCATGTATGTTGAATTGAAAGCAAAAGAAGCAAAATCAAAGTATGTATGTCCCTTGTATATATATCCCAAAATATATACTCATCCCTTGTTTTGCTCAGAACTGATCATTTGTGTGTGTGTGTGTGTGTGTGTGTGTGTGTGTGTGTGTGCGCGCGCGCACGTGTCAGTTCTAGGGCCTAAGGGCTGTCTCTGAGCTTTTTTTTCCCTCCCCTCAAGGCTAACCCTCTACCACGTGAGCCACAACTCCATTTCCAGCATTTTTTGGTGACTAATTAGAGATAAGAGTCTCATGCACTTTCCTGCCCAGGCTGGCTTGAACCACATTCCTCAGATCTTAGCCTCCTGAGTAGCTAGGATTATAGGCATGAACCACCAGTTCCCAGCTCTAATAGATAACTTTGATGTAGTTAACTACAAAGTGCTATTAACTCATTTTTAGAAATACAAGAATATAATAAGATGGTTGGATTATGGCTTATATAGTTTTATGCAGGATATGCCAAGAAAGAGGCCATAACCTAGCATAATTGGAATACTGCCACACTGTAGTGGTAAGGAGATAAGGACTGAGAGCCACAGAGGGAATGAAGATAAGAAAGGAACGTGTAATGGCAGCAAAATTTGATGGGTAAGACAATTATCTGTAAAGTGGAGTAAAAGTCAAAGATGACACCAAGTTTCTGTCATGATAGTTAGAAAAGTTATGATGCAACTGAGGAAAACAGAATTTCAAAGTAGAACCATGCTTGAGGCAATGCACTAGGGAAAAACATGTTTCTTAATGCTACATTTGTATTTGTTTGGAGAAAAATGCAAACAGATGTATTGCTTATGGATCAACATAGAAAACAATGCCTATACCAAAAATTTATGCCAGGTGCTGGGGGCTCACGCCTGTAATCCTAGCTACCCAGGAGGCTGAGATCTGAGGATTGCAGTTCAAAGCCAGCCCAGGCAGGAAAGTCTGTGAGACCCTTGTCTCCAATTAACCACCAGAAAACTGGAAGTGGTGATGTGGCTCAAAGTGCTAAGAGTGCTAGCCTTGAACAAAAAAGCTCAGCAACAGCACTTGTTCCCCAAGTTCAAGCCCAAGACTGACAAAAAAAAAAAAAATCCTCAACTCAAAATTGAAGAAAGACATTTATCCATGATCTTTTCTGGCTTTCTTGTGTTCTAGGAGTTGAATAAATATCATGCCTGTGCTAAAAAAGGAAGAGAGATTGTACCTTCTATATTTTCAGGAAAATGTGGTTACAACAAAAGTATTATAGAGCTGGGTGCCGGTGGCTCACACCTGTAATCCTAGCTATTCAGGAGGCTGAGATCTGAGGATTGTGGTTCAAAGCCAGCCTGGGCAGGAAAGTCCGCAAGTCTCCAATTAACCACCAGAAAACCAGAAGTGGTGCTATGGTTCAAGTGGCAGAATGCTCACCTTGAATTGGAGAGCTCAGGGACAGCACCCAAGCCCAGAGTTCAAGCCACACAACCGACAAAAAAAAAAAAAAAAAAGTATTATAGACATAGCAGTCAAAAATAAAAGCATTTAATATAGAGGGGTGTGCATTTGATCAAAGTATATTACTTATACGTCACAAATACCACAATAAAACTGTACAACTAATTATGCAACTTTTAAACAAAAAGTTAGACTCAAAAACAATTAAAAAAGAGAAAAATCACCAAGAGGCTGGTCTGTGATATAGTTCTGCAGTAGAGCACTGAAGCCCTGGGTTTGAATGTGGACACTGAGAAAAGAGAAAAATAAAAGCATAACCTACATGAATTGCCTGAAGGCATGGCTGGCTCAAGTGGTAGAGCTCCTGACTAGGAAGTGCAAGGCTCCAAGTTCAAGTCCCAGAAAGTTTTCTCTAAGGATCTTTTCACTAATCATAAGGGCATCCCCAGTGATAAACATTGTATCCACCCATCACACTAGGAACCCAAATACGTTGAATGAGTAAAACAATACAGCCATTTTGTCTACCTTGGGGCTGGGAAGGTGGCTCAGTGGTAGAGCGCTTTCCTTGCATGTCTGAGGCCCTGGGTTCGATTCCTCAGCACCACATAAGCAAAAAGAAAAAAGCCAGAAGTGGCGCTGTGGCTCAAGTGGTAGAGTGCTAGCCTTGAGCTGAAGAGCTGAGGGACAGCACCCAGGCCCAGAGTTCAGGCCCCACAACTGGATCAAAAACAAACAAACAAACAAAAACCATTTTGTCTACCTTCTCTAACCAGTAAAGATACAAAAGTAAAAATTGGAGCTGTGACTCAAGTGGTAAAGTGTCAGCCTTGAGAAAAAAAGATACAAAGTATCACACCCTATTATCAAGAATGTACATTTCTAGTTGGGAGACCAGTCTGTCTGTCTGTCTGTCTGTCTGTCTGTCTCCCCCTCCCCCCCCCTCTCTCTTTCTCTCTCTCTCTCTGGGTGAGGATTCCAGTATTGAATTCATGCCCTGGGCTCTGTCCCTTAACATTTTCTGATCAAAGCTGGCTCTCTAACTTTTGGGTGGTTAATTTGATAAGAGTCTCACGGATTTTCCTGCTTTGGGGCTGGCTTTGAACCGGGATCCTCAGATCTTAGCCTCCTGGATTACAAGCACCCAGCCATCAAGTCTGTCTGTCTGTTGGTCTGTCTGTCTCTCTCTCTCTCTCTCTCTCTCTAGAGCAGGCGCTTCTCACTCTGTGCATCTGGAAGCCAAGTTAGCAAAACTGCAAAGACTTGGCTGATTCAAACACAAGCTATCGTGTTATTATTGGCCCAAATTACCTAGTTTCTTCTCGCAGAGCAAGCCAATATCCACAACGGCACTGACGCCTCCTGCAGGGCAAAAGTCTCACCAGTAGCGGGTAAGGAGCATCGCGTTTTATTTACAGCTCCAAACCCAGGGTGGCTGGAATGTGTGCAGCTGCAATTAAGTTCAAACCCCCTCGAGCAGATCCCACCTTTAAGATCTGCATATTTCATAGGAAACGCTTTCCATCTTCCACGTTACAAACCAGGAAAACAAAACTCCCTGAGCCCTTCGGGAACCAGCTCTTACCCAAATGCTACAACAGAGAATGCTAATTCTGCACTCGCCCCTTCTTCCCCAGGCTTGAGCCCCGAAGCAGGGCCACCGGACCACCCACTCTTGCAGGGTCACAGCCAAGCCTTCCGCCCCCCGCAGCGCCCGCCTTTAAAGTAGTCGCGCGCGCGCGCGCGCGAGCAGTCCGGTTGCCCCCGAATTCAACTTCCGGCCACACAGGGAGAGGATGTTTTCCTACTTGCGTTACGACTCGCGGGCGGGCGGGCGCGCGCGCGCGCGCTCAGCCACGCCCTCCTAGCCACGCCCTCACCACCCCTCGCGGGCGCGCGAGGAGGGGCGGGGCCGCGTGGGCAGAACCCAGCTAGCGGCGTTCCTTTTCGCATTTTTAGCGCGCGCTGTCCCGCGGAGACACGCCCCGAGCGGGCGACGTGAGCGCGCCCGCGCACGCTCGCTCTCGGCGCCCTCGGTGACGTGCCTGGCCGAGGCCGCGCTAGGGCGCTCGTAGCTTGCCCGGGGCCGCTGTCATGGCGTCGGAGGCGCTGGCTGAGGAGAGCCGGCTGCGGTCTCTGTAGAGCGCGGGGAGGGTGGCCGGGTATGGAGAGCGGCCCTGACAGCCTGCAGCCGCTAGAACACGGGGTGGCGGCCGGGTCAGCGCCGGGGGCAGGTTCTCCTTTGGAAAGGCGACCGGAGCCGGGACTCGCCGCCGGGGATGGTCCTGGAGTCGGGGCGGCGGAGAGCGGCGGCGGGAACGGGCAAGGGGCGGCGGCGGCGGCGGCGGCGGCGGCGGGCCCGAGCCTCCCGGACTCAGTTTCCCCCACGGGCTCTCCTCAGGCTCCCGGACCGTGCAGCTCCTCGGACTTAAAACAGAGCGCCTCGGAGAGTCCGGTGGCCGCGGAGGCGCCTGTGGGAGGGCGGCACAAGGTGACCGGCTCCCCGGAGCCCGCCGAGGCCGGAGCGGGCCGCGGGTCGGGACCGGCCGGCGACCCCGGAGCCCGGGGTCCCGCGCCCGCCGGCTCCGGGGAGCCCAGCAGCGCCGGCGGCCTGAGCAGCAGTGGCAGCGAGCCCAGCCCTCCTGGGGAATCGCCGAGCCTGGACTCCCTGGAGTCGTTCTCCAACCTCCATTCTTTCCCCAGTAGCTCCGAGTTCAATAGTGAAGAGGGAGCCGAACCCAGGGTCCCCGAGGAGAACGAAGAGGGAGAGGGCGCGGCCGGGGTGGCCCGCGCCGCCCCTCTGTGCCGAGAGGAGGACGGCGAGGACAGCGCTCAGGTGTTGGCGGCCTCCAAGGAACGCTTTCCCGGACAATCTGTGTATCACATCAAGTGGATCCAGTGGAAGGAAGAGAACACGCCCATCATCACCCAGAACGAGAACGGACCCTGCCCTTTGCTGGCCATCCTCAATGTGTTGCTGCTGGCCTGGAAGGTACATTCTGCAGCTTTCTACTTCCTCCAGCTTCTGGGAGGGGCGAGAAGGGGTGAGGAAGCTTGGCTGCTTGTCAGCTGATGGCTTCCTCCTTTTCTTCATTCATCTCTCCCTCTTTTCTTCTTAGATGACATTTATTCCAGGACTCCCTTGTGGAAAGAATATGCGCGTGTGTGTATGCCTATATGCACAAGTATATGATCCATATAACAGTCAATCTCTATATACATCTGATCGATCTATCTACCTATCTATCTATCTACCTATCTACCAATCTACCTACCTACCTATCTATCTATCTATCTATCTATCTATCTATCTATCTATCTATCTATCTATCTATCTATCGGGTTCTATCTCTTTAGCTACCTATCTAAAACAGTTGAGCCTCCGACCTCAAACCTCTCTGATAGTGTTTCAGAATTCAACATTTAGTTGAACCCGGTGTGTGGCTGGTCTACTGAATTTGCAAAGTAGGATTTAGAGCATCCTACACCTTATGAATATTTTAAACTCTACTTTCCTATATTACTTCTAATTAACTGACCATATCATATGCAAAAGATGGGAGAATTGGAGAAAGTACTCTTAAGAAGTTCCCCTCAGTCTATGATATTGTGAAGTAGGTTTTGGTTATTATAGTAGCAATACCCAAATATTATAATGGTTATTGATTATAATTAATAATTGATGACTAGTCAATTTTCCAGCAAATGCTTGCCCGATTTGGGTGTGTATACTTAAGAGAAGGGACATAGGGAAGAAGTGGGCCTCTACACAAAGTGCATCGAATGAAGTGCATTTAATTGGTCCAAGATCCAATTACCATAGTGTCTTTGGTTTCAAAGAAATTTCATTTTATGCATGATTTTTTTCCTTGCTTCACTTCTTTGCGTTGACTTAAGAGATATTAGCATATTATTATTATTACCCCTAACCATGAATTAGAACTTGTTAAGAGAACTCAAGCTATTGCAACTAAAATATGTCTAAGGTAATGGAGTAGCAAAGAGAAGGGCAAGTTACTTTCAGAGTGAGTTACTTGTAAATGAAATGTCCTCTTTTAAGCATGTAGTTTCAGGGTACTAAGATGCAAATCACAGAGCTGATTATTTTCAAGTTGATATTGTATCTGTGAGTAAAATGTTCCTTAGAAGAAAAATAGCTTGCATAATTCTCACTAGGTAGGAAGAAAATCAAGTTAAGGGAACAAGATTTATTACATGCCTTCTCTTCCCGTTGCTAGCAAGGGCTGATACCAAAGAAATAAGATTAGAAACATTGCCATTATGTGGTGCATAATAAAACTCGGATGTTTTGAGAGGAGTCAAAGCCTCATCTTGAAGAGTTGTGAAGATATTCGGGCTTCCCACATTGAAATGCTCATGCTTGTAAATCCCATACTGGAGAGGCTAAAGCAGGAGGATCACAAATTTGATGCCGTCTTAGCTATATAGTGAGATTCTGTCACATACACACAAAAAACCTAAATAAGCAATGCAGAATAATAATGATAGGTTATTTGAGAGAAGTGGAAATGCATTAGATTTCCAAAACTTAGAAATTTTTCTTTGGTTTGGCATAGCTCCAGCAAACTAAATGGGATTTGTGGATCTTGAACTATGCTTTTAAGGAAAAGAATTTAGAATAGCAGGGAAATATAATTCCTAGGGGAGAGAAGAGTGTAAACAAAAGGAATGAAAATAGAATTAAGTGTGTGTGTGTGTGTGTGTGTGTGTGTGTGTGTGTGTGTGTGTTAGATGTTGGGAGTGGTAAGTTTATATTGGAGATCAATTTAAAAAATCAAAATGAAAAGATCAGGAGGACCACTTGATTGAAACCCTGACTAGGGAGTTAGAATTGGTTCAGGGGGCTCAGTCTCCTTCAGGAAGGAATAACTACTTATTTCTAAGGAAGGCCCCACAGAAGATAACCTGTTAATTAGGTCTTCAGATGAATAGAGGTTTTCTGAGCCAGTTATATTTAAAGATGCTGAAGTACCAAGACAAACAAACAAAACGTCAAAAACCAAAAAACAGCTATTCTTTTTTTGGGACCTCCATCCTTGATTGAAGTGCAATGGAGAGGAAAAGGAAATAAATTAGCAGGAAATAAAATTAATGGTCAAGTGTGATCAAGTAGGCATGCTAATGAATTTGAAGATTATTTTGTAAATCTGTGGATTGTGGTACTTTTTCCTTCCTCTAGGCTATTTATGCACAAAAAAATCAGTTCTCAGTCATCATTAATGACTCATAATGGAGATGGATTAAAAAAATTATGTAGAGCAGTATAGGAGACCATTGGTGTTCATGGGTCTGTGGGTCCAAGGAGACACCATGGAGGAAAACCAGAGCATGCTCAGGATGCATAGAGTTTAGCACTGCTCTGTGGATACTTGGTCCATTTTTCTCATAACAACACCCTACTTCTGCTAAAGATATGCTGCTTTTCAACAAATCTTAAATATTCAGCTTATCACCTCAGTTAAGCATATTTTGTTTTGTTTTGTTTTCTTGCTTGTCTTGGGCCTTGAATTCTGAACTTGGGCACTTTCTCCAAGCTCCTTTTGCTCAAGGTTAGCATTCTACCATTTGAGCCACAGCACAACTTCTGGCTTTTTCTGTGATTAATTGGAGATAAAGAGTCTCACAGACTTTCCTGCCTGGGCTGGCTTTGAACCATGATCCTCAGATCTCAGCCTCCTGAGTAGCTAGGATTTCAGGCGTAAACCACTGGTGCCCAGCTAAGCACATTAACTTTTTGCCTTCATTTTCACAGAAGGAAGGGCAGGTATACGGCAGATCACACAGTGATCTAAACACAACAGATGATAATGTCGGACTGATTAAGATTGCCTGTGAATCAACTGAGCTACATAATGTGCTCACAGGAACTTAAATTTTTTGTTTTTGAAATTTCCTTTGATAAAAAAATCTATTTTTCCCTGACCATGCTCAGTCAAAACTGCATGTAATAAATCCACAAATGTAATTTTCAAAGTGAGCCAGGGTTTCTAAGAGGTCAAAACTATTTTCAAATAATCCTAAGATCTTATTTGCCTTTTTCGGTTGTCAGTAGATTCCCAGACTATGTGATGGGTGATGACATTGCCCTAAAAGTTAATAGGATATGTCCATATACTCTTATGTTTTAAATCCTTCTCAGTTTTACTTTCCAATGTGGCAAATATTGGTAGCTATAACTCACATAGAGGTCCTCAGACATTTTTTTTTTTTTTTGCCTACAACGACAAATTCTCTTTACAGTAATTTTATAGATTTGACCTCAGACATTTTTTTTTTTTTTTTTGGTCGGTCGTGGGGCTTGAACTCTGGGCCTGGGCGCTGTCCCTTAGCTCTTCAGCTCAAGGTGAGCGCTCTACCACTTGAGCTACAGCGCCACTTCCAGTTTTCTGGTGTTTTATTGGAGATAGGAGTCTCACAGTCTCTCCTGCCCGGGCTGGCTTTGAACCGTAATCCTCAGATCTCAGCCTCCTGAATAGCTAGGATTACAGGCGTGAGCCACCAGCACCCGGCTTGACCTCAGACATTTTTAATATTGTGAAAGACTGAGAAATATTTGAGAAATGTTGAAGGAGAGAAAATAATAAGATATAAATGTAGTGTGAGACTTGAGGATCCATCACTAAAGGTGCTTAGACTTGGTACATAGCTGACAATAGAGCTATTCTAAGCACTATGTAAAATGATGAATGTTTTATATATGCATATGTGTATATATACACACACTCTTTTTCCTTCAGTGTTGAAGATCAAACCCAGGACTTTATACACTAAATGCACACTTTATCACTGAGCCATGTCTAATTACTTACTTATTTAGTGCTCTGAGTCAGTCCCCAGGACCTTGCACATAGTAAGCTCAGAAAGAGCTGATGAAGATCGCTGGTTTCGGGTAGGAAATTCCTCACCATCTCTCTTTGATGAAGACAAAGTAACAGTACCAATGATTAATTCATCACTAACTTGCTATAACAAAATGAAGGCAATGACACCATTTTTTCAAATCTGGATAATAGAGACTGTTGACTCTTTTAAGTAAGAAAGAAGATTCGATGGAATAATTTTAGAAGATGAGTTGATGCCAGAGTTTAGTGGTATGAAATTAGAAATGTCTCATCACTATGTAAAATACAAATGTTTATTATGTCTCAAGAAAGAGGTCAAAATGTTAGAGCAAAATTGAATTGTGGGATTATTGCATAGATACAAGTATGCTAACTATAAAAATAAATAAACTCTCCAGAGAATGATAGGCTACAGTTGTCAACTTTTTTCTCATATGAGGACATAAATTGCCAAAAGAAGCATCCTGTCTTGCCTCTACTTCTTTCTTCATTCCATTTTACAGTAGACAAAGAAAACTGAGGGAAAAGGATTAAAAGGGACAGTACTAAAAGCAAGCCAGTGAAAAGAAGCATTTGTACAATTTGAGATATAGAATGAGAAACAGAAATTTGACCATGTCATGATAGTCAGGAAGAGATGATATAATTATTTTGTGTGTGGGCCAATACCAGAGCTTGAACTCAGAGTCTCTTCACTCAGCTTTCTTGCTCACAACTACTGCTGTACCACTTGAGCCACATCTTCAGTACAGCATTTTGCTGATTAATTGGAGATGAATCCTCAAAGACTTTTCTTCCCCAGGCTGGCTTCAAACCTCAATCTTCCAGGTCTCAGCCTCCTTAGTTGTTAGGATTACAGGTGTAAGTGAGAAAATGTAATTTTAAAAAAGTGGCTAGTTATCATTGTCATGCATTAAGGAGCAGATGGAGTAGGAAAGATTTTGCCAAACAAGGCCAGGTGCCAGGGACAAGGCCACTAAAAAAAAAATCACAGTTATGTAGTCCTTACAGTGGGTACAGGTTACTTTAGAGAAAAGAAACAGCTATGTTAATTTCTGAAAGAATGAGTTAAAGAAGATAAAGTCCTGTAGAAGTTGACATGTAATACTTTCCATCATGGCAGAGTCCTGTGGAATTCATCGGTACTTAGAAATTAGAGCTGGCACCAGTGGCTCACGCCTGTAATCCTAGCTATTAGGAGGCTGAGATCTAAGAAATATGGTTCAAAGCCAGCCTGGGCAGGAAAGTCCGTGAGACTCTTATCTCCAATAAACCACCAGAAAACCAGAAATGGCACTGTGGCTCAAGTGGTAGAGTACCCACCTAGAATGAAGAGCTCAGAGTTCAAGCCCTTCAACCAATCCAAAAATAAATAAATAAAACAAAATAAAATCCAGCATGTCAGACTTATGTAAAATTCAAGTCTCACTTCCTGGCTTTTTTATTTTCATTTTTTTGAGGGGGGGGGGGTTGGTCTTAGGGCTTGAAATCTGGGCCCAGACTCTGACCCTAAGCTTCTGTTGTTCAAGGTCAGCACCATTTCTGGCTTTTTCTGAATAGTTTATTGAAGATAAGAGTCTCATGGACTCTCCTGCCTGGGCTGGCTTCAAGCCACAATCCTTAGATCTCAGCCTCCTGAGTAGCTAGAATTACAGGTGTTAGTCATCAACACCTGGCCAGATTCATTTTTATTAGCATATATTAATTATGCAAAACAATGAGATTCTTTATTACATTTTCACACACATATATAATATACTTTAATCATATTCAGCACCCCCATTAGCTTCTTAATCTAAGAAGGCACTAAAAATTCAAATGAGAAACATGAGCAAAGCTGGGTGCTGGTGACTTAAGCCTATAGTCCTAGATACTCAGGAGGCTGAGATCTTAGGATCGAAGTTCAAAGCCAGCCTGAGCAGGAAGGCTGTAAGACTCGTATCTCTAGTTAACCACCAGAAAACCGTATGTGGCTCAAAGTGTTACACTACTAGCCTTGAGTGAAAGAGCTCAGGGATAGCATCAGTCCCTGAGTTCAAGCCCTATGACCAACAAAGAATAGAAAGAAAAGAAACATGAGCGACAAAATGGCAAAGTAAGAAAATGGCCATGCATAGAGAAGAGAGTGCAAGTTCATGTGGACATTCCTGTCCCACTATCTTCTGCAAACTGAGGCTCTGAACGTGTGACTCTGTTAACTGCAATGAGTTTTGCTGTGCTTCCCTCCCTTTTTTGAGTCTCTTCACAGAAACCTCATCCAGGCTTTACTTTTCCCCTGACCTATAGGAAAATTGCAGTCCTACCAATGTTCCCATGTTCTCTTTTCCTAAAGAAAGCTAAACTCTTTTGAGGTTTTCTGAGTGTGTTTATGACTTGTAAAAAAGAAAAAAAAAAAGGAAAACAGATGGTGAGCCAAAGGTTCTATCTTAGCCTCTGCCCACTCGGTTTTAAATATAGATCTTGTAAGAAGAGATTAAAAACTTCACACAGTGGTGAGGCTTTGTTTACACGAAAGATTTAAGAAACATTTTTCAGGCTTCCTTCCTTCCCCAGTGTCTCCCAAGAATTACAGGTGGTGTGCATCTCTGGATTTGCGAGCTAAAGCACAGGAGAGCTAATGGTAGTATGATCTTGCCAGTGGATGTTTCCTCCTATCAGTGAACAGATATGTCCATTTTCTCCAGTCTGAGACAGGAATATTCTTCAGTGAAAATCTTCCCTTTCCCTTCCAGTTGTGCCTGTTGAGGTCTGGGTGAAGAATGATAAGGCTTTGAAATGATGATAAGTAGTGTTAGAAAAGGCAACCTTTCCATTGCTGAGCTATTACCCCTCCACCCACAGATGATGATTTACATATTTCATTGAATGCAATATTTTACTGTTTCTTTTCTTTTTCTGAAAAGGAAATTGACACACAATAAATTGGGAGGATTTGAGTATAGTTACTGGATAAAAGATGGCAGTTTCAATCATTGACTGAAGTAAGTTTGTGCTGTTATAGGGCGAGGGGTATAACTCAAGTGATAGAATGCTTAGCACCTAGTATGTAGTAGGCCCTTGGCTCAAGAAAAGAGGGAAGAAGAAGAGGGAAGAGAATGAAAGGGAGGGAGAGGGAGGGGAATCTATACATATAGGTGGTAAAACTACAGTGTTTTTTAAAGTTTTACATTGTAATTGAAAGTCATGAAGACGAATTTTCAGTGTATAGATATTACCTTAATTTTTTTTTTTTTAACTCCATTGTAGGTTTTGAACTCAGGGCCTGCGTACCTGTCCCTGAACTCCTTTGCTCAAGACCAGTGCTGTGCCATTTTGAGCCATAGCTCCACTTTCAGTTTTTGAGTTGTTAATTGGAGTTAAATGAGATCCTTTGATCTCAACTTCCTGAGTAGCCAGGATTACAGGCATAAGCCACTGGTGCCTGGCCTTGTATTCATTTTAACCATTTAAAAATAGCCAAAGTAGGGCTGGGAAGGTGGCTCAGTGGTAGAGTGCTTGCCTTGCATGCATGAGGCCCTGGGTTCGATTCCTCAGCACCACATAAACAAAAAGAAAAAAGCCAGTAGTGGCGCTGTGGCTCAAGTGGTAGAGTGCTAGCTTTGAGCTGAAGAGGCCCAGAGTTCAGGCCCACCACGGAACCCCCCCCCCCAAAAAAAAAAAGCCAAAGTAGACTGAAGTTGTGGGATATTATGCTATGTTCAATCCTGTCCTGAATAGAACTGTTCTGTTGGTGCCCTGTCACATATTTGGTGTCTCTTCCCAACCTGTAGCCCAGTTTCCTGTTGTGCAGGACACTATTGCAGGGGTATAATGGCAATTATGATGGGTAGTAAAAGGTGTGGCACTTGGCTTTGAAAACAGGTTTCTCAAGGGTTTTTTTTATCTTAAATCACTCTAAATTTTAAGGTGACAGAACTTCATTATCTTTTATAAAGGTTGATTCTAAAGATTCTAATAAATATGAATAATGTACACATAAACTAAATACATATATACACATATACACATTAGAAACATATATTCTTCAAAAATCATTTCATCCATACAAAACATTGGATTTGATAGGAATAATACTTTCTTTTTCAGGTGAAACTTCCACCAATGATGGAAATCATAACTGCTGAGCAGCTGATGGAATATTTAGGTTTGTGTTGAAGAATGGATGATTTTACATCTTTTTCAAAATAAGACAGTTTTCAACACAGATATTTATAGTCTCACCTTTCTAAAGTGCTCTTATGTAAACTTTTTCTGTTATGTAAACTTTTAAAATTAGAGTTGTGAATCTGTTAATTAAAAACTTTTGTCAGTATGTTATTGTTCTGACCAGCATTGAGATTCTGTAATACACAAAGGAGACTGGAAAGTATCTAGGATATAAGATGCAAGTTAATTCCAGTAAATGGCACTCATGATGGCTGGTGTAACTCGCAAAAGGCTGGCTGGAAGCAAAAGGTGAGATCAGAGAGTTAATGGAGTCAGGTCCCGCCAGGCTCAGAAGGCTATCATAGAGATTTTGACTTGTGACATTGGTGAGGTAGGAAAGGATTAGAGGACAGAGGGCTGTCATTATTTGACTTTTGAGTTTGATAAAAACTTCTCTGATTATTAATGTTGAAAACAGACCTTAAGGGAAGTAAGGATGGAAAGAGGGAGACCTCTTAGGAAACTTGTGGTTAGCCAAAGAGGTTAGAAGCTACGAGCAAAGCAGGAGAAGTAGAGGTGGTGAGTGGTGGTAATATCCTGGGATGTACAGTAAGTGAAAGTTGCTCCTTAGCCGATGTGGCCTGAGAGTGGAGGCTGGGGTAACGCTGTGGCTTTCGGCTCTAATAACTGGAGGGAAGAAAGTGCCATCAGCAGATATAGAAGAAATAAAATGGAAGGAACAGAGTTAGGGAAGAATAGAAGAATTTCATTTCTGAGATGCTTGTTGATACCCAACTGGAAATAATCAGGAAGGCACTTGAATATACAAATCTAGAGTTCAAGGAAGAGTTCTAGGTTTGCACTATATAATGCAGTATCTGTGAAGACAAAAATGTTCTGTGTCTGTGCTGTCTAGTTTGGGAGTTAGCAGCCACATATGGTAAAGACCACATTGACTAATGTGACCAAGGAAATTCTTTTTTTTTTTCGGGGGGGGGTCTGGTTGTGGGGCCTGAACTCTGGGCCTGGGCGCTGTCCCTCAGCTTTTCAGCTCAAGGCTAGCGCTCTACCACTTGAGCCACAGCGCCACTTTCGGCTTTTTTTTTCTTTTTGCTTATGTGGTGCTAAGGAATTGAACCCAGGGCCTCATGCATGCAAGGCAAGCACTCTACCACTGAGCCACCTTCCCAGCCCCTGACCAAGAAAATTCTATATAATTTACATGTTTAAATTGAGCTACTCTTATTAGTATAGTTCTAGTGTACAAATACAGACTTACAAATAAGATATACGAGTGGCAGTAGACTTTTGAGATCCTTCAGGGAGTTGAATGTTGGCTAGAGAAAAGATGAGGGGACTGGGTCCAACATATATGCCAGGTGTGGTGGTATGCATCTGTAATCACAGCGCTTGAGGCAGGAAGATTTTGAGTTCAAGTCCACTCTACCCACCTGAACCACACAACAACCCTCTTTTTTTTTTTTTTTTAAGGTTTTGTTTTGTTTTAAGATGGGATCTCATTCTAGAAACCAGATACAGTGGTTCATGCATGTAATCCTAGCTGCCAGAAGACAGAGTTCAGGAGGGTAAAGGTTTGAGCCAACCTGGCAAATAAGTTTTGGAGACCACATATCAACTAATTAAAAAAAAAAAGCTAAACACAAACTGAACACTAATGGCTTGTACCTGTAATTCTAGCTACTAAGGAGGATGAGATAGGAGGATTGCAATTTGAAGCCAGCCTGGGTAGGGACATCTAGGAGACTCTTACCTCTAATTATCTATCAAAAAGCCCGAAGTGGAGCTGTGGCTCAAGTAGTAAAGTGGTGTCCTTGAGCAGAAAAGCTCAAGGACACTACCCAGGCCTTGAGTTCAAGCCCACACACATACCTAGGTGCATTGGTGCATACCTGTGATCTCAGCTTTGTGAAAAGCCTATGAAAAGGATTGTTGTCTAGGCCAGTGAGACATAAATGTGAGACCTTATCTTAAAATGACCAAAGTGGAAAAAGGTGGTGGTATGGCTTACGTGGTAAAATGCCTGCCTAGCAATTTTAAGGCCCTGAATTCAAACCCCAGAACTAAAAAAATTTCTAATTTTTGGGAATGTGTATGTAGTAAAGTGAGTGGTAGAACACATGCTTAACATGCCTAAAGCCCTGGGTTTGATCTCTAGCATCAAAATAACTATGATAATAGAATTCAACTTATTCTATTACAAATTCTAAATAATGTTTCTACTATTGTATACTCACACTAGTTATCTCATACTATATTAAATCCTCCAACCTTATAGTAAACAGTGATTAACTTAGAGCATCTATCTAGAGATTAGGAATCTAGTTGGGGCTTAACCAAGTGGCCCTTGTTCATGGTCTTTCATGAGGCTGCTCTCATGATGTTTCAAGGCCAGAGTTTTATAGGAAAGCCTAACACAATTGGTTTCTAAGTTGGTATAAAGTCCTCAGTTCTCTCCTAGCTCTTGGTTGAAAGCCTCCCTTGGTTCCTTCTCCTAGAAGCCTCTGCATAAGGCAATTCAGAACATAGCAGCAGCTCTCTTCAGAGCATAAAACAGAGAATACAAGAACAAAAGCTACAACATTTTGGATTTTAGTTTTGGAAGTGATTATCTTATTTCTCTGCCATATTTTATTCACTAGAAATGAGCCAGCAAGGTATAGTGGTTCACATCTGTAATTCCAGCAGTTATGAGGTTTAAACACGATGATCTCAAATTTGAGATCAGCCTGGACTACAGTGAGAGTCTGGCTAAAAGAAAAAAATAAAAGAAAAAGAAAAGTAAGTCAGTGAATGCATTCTGCACTCAAGGGAAGGGAGGAGATACAATGGTATCAGGAAGAAGATGGGTATCGTTGAGATCTATCTTAAGGGTTGCTTAAACTAGTCTAATTAGACTAGCTAAACTAGTCTTCTCTTACTAAGCTGCTCCCCACAACCTCAGCAAAAGAGGCCTGGTGTTTCTTGAATCATTTCCACTATCATTCTACTCTGCTTTAGTTTCTGGTAGGATGTCCAGATTCATTTGATATTGTACTGTGTAATGTACATTCTGGCCCAGCTATCATGGTAGTCAGAAAAGCATAAGCAGTCTTTAATTGATAAAAATACTTGAAATACAAATAAAATACATGATTTAAGTACAGCATACATACTCTCCATTTTTGAATAAATAATGTATAGTATTTGTTCCATAAAGCATACTTTTCAGGTAAATTTTATATTGAAACCTCAAAATAACTGGACATGATGGTGTATACCTGTAATCTCAGAACTCAGAATACAAATTTGAGGTAGCTTAGGCTAGAGAGCAAGAAGGTGCCTCAAAAAAAATAAAATTTAGCTGGGTGCCAGTGGCTCATGCCTGTAATCCTAGCTACTAAGGACGGTGAGATCTGATGTTCATGGTTCAAAACCAGATCCGGCAGGAAAGTCTGTGAGACTCTTACCTACAATAAACCACCAGAAAACCGGAAATGGCGCTGTGGCTCAAGTGGCAGAGCACTAGCCTTGAGCTGAATAGCTGAGGGACAGCACTTAGGCCCAGAGTTCAAGTCCCACGACTAACTAACTTAATTAATTAATTAATTAAATTTAAAAAGCCAGTCACCAATGACTCTCACCTCAAATTCTAGCTGCTCAGGAGGCTGAGATCTGAGGATCACAGTTCAAAGATAGACTGGGCAGGAAAGTCTGTGAGTCTTTTATCTCCAATAAACTACCAAAAAGCCAAAAGTGGATCTGTGGCTCAAATGGTAGAATACTAATCTTGAGCAAAAAAGCTCAGACCTGGAGTTTAGGCCTAAGACTGGCACAAAAATAAAAGGTCACAACATGGAAAATATGTAAATATACAATGTATCATGTAAATATATAATTTTTTTTTGTCAGTCATAGGTCTTCAACTCAGAGCTGGGACATTGTCCCTGTGCTTTTTTGCTCAAGACTAGCAGTCTTCCATTTGAGCCACAGATCCACTTTTGGCTTTTTGGTAGTTTATTGGAGATAAAAGACTCACAGACTTTATTGCCTAAGCTGTCTTTAAACCATGATCCTCAGATCTCAGCCTCCTGAGTAGGTAAGATTATAGGCATGAGGCACTGGTACTGGCCATACAGATTTTTTTTCCCAAATTCTTGATTTATTTCCTTCAATCAGTTATTTCAGTGCTTTTTGAGGTTCTGTTGTATTTGCAGAGTAAAGTCACTCCTGACAAGACCTCGTACTTTTTAATTAAAAGTGCAAGTAATAATATATTTGATGTTCATAGGAGTTCTTTTGTAATCAGTGCTGGATAACCTAAGAGAATACTTGATGGAGTCTTAGCAGTTTATTTTGAATTTAGAAAATAAGTTGTTGGAAAGCAATGCTATCAACTTTGCCAGCAGTATGAAAAGTTAAGGAGATGCTAGTTACCTACCTTACTGTTTCTGCCTCAGTTAATTTCAGATAAATGAAAGGTTTCAATATTTTTTTTAAAAAGGTAAGCATAAAATTACATGTAAAATACACATGTGAATTTCTGTACACTCAAAGGGTAGGGATTTTTCTAAACATGACACTAACCAACTCAGAAGCTGTAATATATGTATTTGACTATACTAAAAGTAAATATTTCTGTGTAACAAGAATGTTAAACTCACAATGTAAACCAGAAAGTGAAAGGTCTAATATGGAAAAAAATACTTAATACATATGCCACAAGAAATAATACTAATTCTTCTAAAAGAGTAGTTTTTATAATTCAGTAGGAAAAGATGATATAGGCAGATAATGCAGAAAAAATATACACAGTAATGTATGTTAATACATAATTTAACAAGCAGTACATAGGGGAAAGCTGGAGTTTAGTAGCAGAGCACATTCTTAGCATGTACGAGGACCTCAGTCCAATACCCAATACTCCCCAACAGTGTCTTTAAATTTAAAAAAATATTGTACATAGGACAAAAAGGTACTGTACATTAAAATGACATTTTATATTTTTAAAGGACAGTACATACATAAAAGTGTTTTATAGATGTGTCAAGAAGGTATTGGGCCAGGTGAATATAGTCAAAGGCAAAGAACTTGCCCTGGTTTGGGAGGACCTGGGTTTGATCTCCAGCACCAAAACAAAATACAAAACTGATACCAAATTCACATTTCTCCATAAAGTAGATATTCTTAAATATTAGTTTTTTAACTGAAAAAAAGTTTCACTTTTCAGAGTTAAGTTGTAAACATTGAGATGATTGATAACATTTAGAACATTGGTACTGAACATTTAGCAGATTGGCAAGGTAACTGGGGAAATAGTTACATGGTAGATAGCAATGAAAGTTGCCTTTGAGACTTCTCTATGTAATAACATGGGAAGATTATCAAATATAAGACTGTTTGAAAGAAAGTTATTGCTTTTCGCTAAATAAAATTGAGAGTTCAGCTGTTGCTACAATTAAAATTTTTATTATCAAAAGTTTGTTACTGTTATAAACAAAGAAGACAAATTTCATTTCTTTTTACAGGAGATTACATGCTGGAATCAAAGCCAAAAGAAATTTCAGAAATTCAACGTTTAAATTATGAACAGGTAATAAACATGATTTTTCTTATGTTAAAATTTGCTGTGAGTTTTCACTTTGGTCTCTATCAGTGGCTTGCAAACTCTTTCTGGAAAGGACTAGATAATAAATATCTTAGGCTTAACAGGCCACCTGTGGTCAGTCTCCATTGCCTATTTTTTGTTTCATTAACAACACTTTAAAAAGATAAAAACCACTGTTAGCTCTCAGTCACAGTGGGTCCCATAGCCATGCTTTTGGATTCCCATTTTTTATTTTCCTAAGAATATACATGATAATAGATTTTTTTTGTTTTTGGTCATGGGGCCTGAACTCTGGGCCTAGGCATTGTCCCTCAGCTATTCAGCTCAAGGCTAGAGCTCTACCACTTGAACCATAGCGCCACTTCTAGCTTTTTCTGCTTATGTGGTGCTGAGGAATCGAACCTAGGGTCTCATGCATGCAAGGCAAGCACTCTACCACTGAGCCACCTTCCCAGCCCTATACATGCTAATAACATGTGTATTTCATTTTACAGCTCTATACTGAATGATAACTTAATCTTTTTCTTAAAAATGGCTCTGAGGGGCTGGGAAGGTGGCTCAGTGCTTGCCTTGCATGCCTGAGGCCCTGGGTTCGATTCCTCAGCACCACATAAACAAAAAGAAATAAGCCAGAAGTGGGCTGTGGCTCAAGTGGTAGAGCACTAGCCTTGAGCTGAAGAGCTGAAGGACAGCACCCAGGCCCAAAGTTCAGGCCCCACGACTGGACACCCCCGCCAAAAAAAAAAAATGGCTCTGAAATGAATTTATCATCAGTTTAACTTTCCTTGTTTGATTTGCTTTACAGTTTCTTGCTTTTTGTTTTTGCTGTGCTAGGGGTTGAGCCCAGGATCTTGAGCACACTAGGTGAGCACTCTACCACTGAGCTTCAGCCCCAAGGCCTTCAGTTATGTTTAGGAGGAAGGTGAGCACATGATATCTCAGATATGTAGGACAAATACCACTGTTCTAGTTTCTAGTATACCACTAGTTCTAGTTTCTTGGTATATTGTCTAGATATTCTCTTCTGTAATACCAGAGTATTTACCCCGTTCAAACTTGTAGAAGCTACAGGAAAGCAAATGGCTTACTTTCCTGCAATAGAAGGAAAAGGAAAAAGACATGCGCTCTTATGGAGGGAGAAACCAGCCCAGGAAGAGACAGCCATGCCTGGAACCTTCACAGTCACTTCCAAAGCTATTTTTTTTTTTTTTTGGAGGAGGCCAGTCATGAGGCTTGAACTCTGGGCCTCAGTGCTGTCCCTGAGCTCTCCAGCTCAAGGTAAGCACTCTATACTTGAGCCACAGCCCCACTTCTGGTTTTCTGGTGGCTAATTGGAGATAAGAGTCCCATGGACTTCCCTGCCCGGGCTGGCTTTGAACCTCAATCCTCAGATCTCAGCCTCCTGAGTAGCTAGGATTACAGTTGTGAGCCACTGACACCTGGCAGCAGTTTTTAAAAATACAATTCTATTGTTATTATTAAGGTGTTGTGAAGAAGGGTTAGCATTTCATAAATCAGGTACTGAGTACATTTCTTTTTTTGGATAGTGTTGCCCTTTCACTTTCCCCCAGCTTCCTTCTCCTGTCCCTGCCCACAAGTTACATAGTTCATTTTCCACAATGTATATGAATAAGATGATTACATTTGTTCGCCTCCCTTTCTGTGCCCCTCCTAAAAAAAGCCAAAAAAAAAAAAAAAAAAAGCAAAAACAAACACCACTATCAATAAAACCAACAACAAAACCATGTTTCCATTTCCTGGAATTAATTTCCAAAGCAGTCTTTACCACATACTTTGAACAGTGTCAAATTTCAAAAGGAAGCAGAATTCATTTTTTGTGACGATGAAGATCAAACCCAGGGCCTTCCACATGTTAGACAAGTGCTCTACCACTGAGCTCAATCTGCAGCAAATGAAGCAAAATTCATTGAAGTATTGTAACATACCTTTAATGTTCACATAGTCTTATTATGGTTGAAAAACCAATATTTTACATTACATTATCTAAAATAGGAAATTTATAGCTGAAGCCACACTTGTATGCTATGTGAAATTGTATCAATACAGGACTGTGGTTGTAGTTCAGTGGGGCCCTGGGTTCAATCTACAGCATTCTCCAAAATATTATTACAATTGTAGTATAAAGCAGTAACTTCTAAACATTTTTTATTTTGGACTTCTAAACATTTTAAGCAGTAGAAACCTCTTTCTAAATGAAATCTTACTTCAGCTCCTAATGTATAAAACCACAAATGACATTTCGTAAGTATAAAATAAGTTTCCATTTATGTCATTTATTAAATTTATATAATTTCTTAATTAGGTACTTTTAATAATACCAAAAATTAAGTTCACAATCACATATGATAGTTAAAGTCTCATATTAATTTGAAAATTTCATTATACTTAATTTGGAAAGTCCTGAGACAGTCTTGATTGACCATGTTTACAAATAACATCCACATTTTTTTTTTTCCCGTCGGTTGTGGGACCTGAACTCTGGGACTGGGTGTTGTCCCTCAGCTCTTCACCTCAAGGCTAGCGCTCTACCACTTGAGCTATAACGCCACTTCTGACTTTTTCTGCTTATGTGGTGCTGAGGAGTCAAACCCAGGGCCTCATGCATGCAAGGCAAGCACAATACCACTGAGCCACCTTCCCAGCCCAACACCCACATTTTGTCTTGCAGTCTTGGGATACATTTCTGTAACAATGATTTAAACTCTAGAGAAGTGGAAGTAAAATTTTATTTATTTATTATTTACTTATTTTTATTGGTTGTGGGGTTTGAACTCAGGGGCTGAGTGTTGTCCCTGAGCTCTTTTCGCTTAAGGGTAGGGCTCTAACACTTTGAGACACAGTGCTACTTAAGATATTCTGGTCATTAACTGGAGATGAGAGTCTCATGGACTTTCCTGCCCACCCTGGCTTCAAACCACGATCCTCAGATCTCATCCACCTGAATAGCTAGGATTACAGGCATGAGCTACTGGTATCTAGCTCAAAATTTTTATTTTATAGTTGAGAAAATATCTGACAATTGCTTCCATTTCTTATAAATAAGTCAGGCAAAAATACTCTTTACTTAAGCACTAAAAGTATTTATGAGCTTAATATAACACTGCCATTGTTTTTGAGAGTAGTATACAACAAGCTGATATGGCTGAGTCTGAACTAGTGTTTAATGTTCCAAAGGTGTGAGGTAACAGTGTTCTTTTTAATATAATTTTATTTAATTTTATATGAGCTGATATGGCCAAACCTGTATTTAGAAACACCAACTAAGAGATGCAGTGTTCCCAAGAAAAACCTCTTTAATGATAAATACCTTCATGGTCAAATCAAATGTGATGTATGGTAACAAGTTTCAATTTATTTGTTTATTTGCTGAGTTGTTGATTTCCTGGTACTAAGAATTGAACTCAGGTCCTACATTTATTAGGCAGGGACTTTACTACTTAAGCAATACCTCCTGCTCATGTGTTGATTGATTGATTGGTTGATGGAATTTCTGAATATTGAACCTAAGAGTCTCAAGCATGCTTGAATATTCTAATTGTTCTAACACTCTCAGCCTTAATAGGCTTTCAAGTGAATACAAACATAATTTTAAGGCATTTTGTATTTAAGCAGGTGTATTGGTACATGCTTATGATTGCCTATAACCTCAGAGGATTATAAAGTACACTGGAAGCAAAAAATAGGAGGACTGAGAGTTTGAGGCCAGCTTAGACTACATAGCAAAACCCTGTCTTAGGGTTGGAGATGTGGTTTAGTGATAAGAGTGCTTGCCTAGCATGCATGAAGCCCTGGGTTTGATTCCTCAGTACCACATAAACAGAAAAAGCCAGAAGTGGAGCTGTGGCTCAAGTGGTAGAGTGCTAGCCTTGAGCAAAAGAAGCTCAGGGACAGTGCCCAGGGCCTGAGTTCAAGCCCCAGGACTGGCAAAAACAACAAACAAATTAAAAAAAAAAACAACAACTCTGTCTTAAAAATTAAATGCATAAATAATGTATCTTATTTAAGTTTAAAATATTCCCTCATGTTAGAAGTACTTTGGGAAAATAATAAGAAACAGTTTAACCATTATCTGATAATCTATTCTTGGGATGTAAGCCATCATCCCTTTTATCCATATTTCATAATATTAATTTAGCATTAGAAACAAAGCCCTTTTCTAACACTTTGTTTATAAATTTGTGTGTTTCATGTTTTATTAATCCTGTTGGAGATTGTCAAAATATTTTGCTATTTTAACAATAATTCATAATGCCTAACATGGAAATATCACCAGGAGCCCAGGAGTCATGGAAGATTATACTGGCCTACAGGAAGTTGGTAGCTAGAAGAGAAGACTGATAGTAGTAGACCTAGAACATTATATCTCTTGTTACCCTTATTAAGACTTGGTCTTGGGGGCTGGGAAGTTGGCTCAGTGGTAGAGCGCTTGCCTTGCATGCTCGAGGCCCTGGGTTCGATTCCTCAGCACCACATAAGCAAAAAGAAAAAAGCCGGAAGTGGCGCTGTGGCTCAAGTGGTAGAGTGCTAGCCTTGAGCTGAAGAGCTGAGGGACAGCGCCCAGGCCCAGAGTTCAGGCCCCACGACTGAGCCCACCCCCCCCCCAAAAAAAAAAAAAAAAGACTTGGTCTTCCTGTCATTCTAGGAAAAGCTTTACAGCACTTACAGGGAAGAATGTGAACTTATTGTTTTTTAAGGTTCAATTTTTAGAAAAGTTGAGAAAATATATTGTTGAGTATTAAATATGTATTAGGAAGAGGTGAAAAGACAAAGGTTAATGACTGTATTATAAGGCTGTCCTACTTATAAATGGATCATTTGAATTTAAAACGTGAATAATTTCTGTAGTCTGCATAATATCTTAGAATTGTCTTTTAAATTGTTTGCTGTTTAATATAGTTTTTATTATCTATCTATCTATTCATTTGGGGGGTCCGGTCATGGGGCCTGAACTCTGGGCCTGGGTGCTGTCCCTTAGCTCTTCAGCTCAAGGCTAGCATTCTACCACTTGAGCCACAGCGCCACTTCCGGCTTTTTTCTTTTTGCTTATGTGGTGCTGAGGAGTTGAACCCAGGGCCTCATGCATGCAAGGCAAGCGCTCTACCACTGAGCTACCTTCCCATTCCTTAATATTGTTTTTATAATTTAAATTAATCTCTTTTTGTGGGGGAAGGTGGCTTTGTAGCTCAGGTTAGACTTGAATTCAAGATCCTTCTGTCTTAACCCCTTGAGTTTGTACATCTTGTTTACACATTTGTCTATCAATGGATATTTGGACTACTACTTCTTGACTATTGTGAATAATGTTGTAATAAACCTGCATCTGCAAATACCTTTCAAAGATCCTTCTCAAAGATCCTGCTCAATTTTTCTTTCTTGGACATAGTTGTTTTCAGGTCTCTCATAGACAGATATTAGTTATATGAGAACAAAAACTTTATTCACTGTTATATTTTTGAAACATTGTAAGTGCTTAATAATAAAAATCTGATTACAGTGCTGGGAAGGTGGTTCAGTTGTAGAGTGCTTGCCTTGCATGCATGAGGCCCTGGGTTCGATTCCTCAGCACCACATAAGCAGAAAAAGTTAGAAGTGGCACTGTGGCGCAAGTGGTAGAGTGCTAGCCTTGAGCTGAAGAGGTGAGGAACAGTGCCCAGGCCCAGAGTCCAGGCCCCACAACCAACCAAAAAAAAAAAAAAAAAATCTGATCACAAGATGAATAAATAGGATAAAATAGTGTAAGAATAAGAGTGAGCATATTGTTATGTTGCAAACTCTCCTCCTGCCTTAACCTGCCCAGTAGCTGGGTTTTGCAGATACCATCACACACAGTTTTTGTTGTTCTTTTTATTTTCCTGAACTGTACTTTCCCCTTTCTATTTTCAGAATATGAGTGATGCTATGGCAATTTTACATAAACTCCAGACGGGCCTGGATGTAAATGTCAGATTCACTGGTGTTGGAGTATTTGAATATACCCCAGAGTGTATAGTGTTTGATCTTCTTGATATCCCTCTGTACCATGGCTGGTTAGTGGATCCTCAGGTAAGTAGAATTTAAATTGTACAAACACAAACACAGAAAAAATTTATTAATATAAGTTTCTGTTTTCTGATATTTATATTTTTGTGCTATGATCTGGAATTAGACAAACCCTGAGGTTAAGGGGACAGTCCTTCAGACTTCCGATCACAACTGGAAAACTAGATTGAGTCCACACGAGACTCCTCAGCTATCACATCAACTGCAGGTTTTGTGGCTTCCCAAAAGTATCCTCAGATTTTGTGACTTTCTAAAAAGACTTGCAAAACCTCCTGAAGCCTATTATGTTCACCATTATAGTTTAGGGGTAAGTAAGATGTGGGTTAAAATGAGCCAAGGAAATCTGGGCACGGGTGACTCACACCTGTGATCCCAGTACTCAGGAGGCTGAGATCTGAGAATCATGGTGCAGAGACAGCCTGAATGGGAAGTCTGTGAGACTCTTATCTCCAATTAACCACCAAAAAACTAGATGTGGAGCTCAAGTGGTTGAGTGCTAGCCTTGAGCAAATAGGCAAGTTCCAAATGTGAGTTCTGATGTTCACAAGGCAGGTTACCAGTCAGAACTGATGTACTGTGAGGGCTTGGGATGTTGAGATGTTACCAGTCCTGGAATTCATTAGCCTTCAATGTGCAAATTGTTATTGAGATTTCATTGCAAAGACATAATTAGTTGCCCTTGCAGTTGAACTTGGTCTCTAGCCTTTTTTCCCAGGGAGATGGGCTGTACCACATTCTTCAAAGGAGCCCCTATGAATCACCTCCTTACTATTAACCCATAGATGTGTTCCAAACATCCACCTTAAATAACAGTTACTTGAGTAACAACATTACTAGGGAAATTCCGAAAGCTTAGAGTTTATCTCTTAGGAATCTGGATAAAAGCCAGGCTTCTCTTGGGTCAAAGCTGCATACTTTACTGCAAAGCTTTGAAAAGGGATTTTGAAACACTCTAACATTTATTCCAAAAGACACTCTCACATTCCTGTCACTCTAATTGTGCATTTGTAAATGTACGCTGACCTTGGTATTTGCTAATCTGGCATTCCAGGTATTGCCTTGTGGCAAATAAACCAGGGTCCTGGCACGGAAGTAGATAACTGAGGAAAGCTTTAGGAAAAGACTACAACAACTATGAGGCAAAGTTAAGGAGAAGGAGTCAGCGATATGAAGCATCCTAGTTAGCAACAATCAGAAACTGCTCTTCTCTTCCACTCTTGACCTCTGCTTAAACCCCAAAGCCAGCCTGGGCATGCAAATCCAAAAGATTCTTATTTCTAACTAACCAGCAAAAAGCTGAAGTGGAAGTATATCTTAAGTAGAGTAGAACACCAGCCTTCAGCAGTTGTGTAGGATGGGGGCAGTACTAAGGGAGACCAGAGTTTGAGATTCTGATACAAGCTCTGTATTGATATAATTTTAGATTGACAAGAAAGTTGCAAAGTTTTTCCTATGTACCCTTTACCCAGTTTTCCCTTACCTTTTTTTTTTTTTTTTTTTTTGCCAGTCCTGGGGCTTGAACTCAGGGCCTGGGCACTATCCCTGAGCCTAAGGTTCTTTTTATTCAAGGCTAGCACTCTACCACTTGAGCCACAGCACCACTTCTGACTTTTTCTGTTTATGTGGCACTGAGGAGTTGAACCCAGGGCTTCGTGTGTGCTAAGCAAGCACTCTACCACTAAGCCATATTCCAAGCCCTCTTACCTTAACATTTTTACATGACCAAAGTTCATGTATCAAAGCTAAGCCCCAGTGACTAGATTTTTAGGCATGAACCAAGCACCAGTGGCTCATATCTGTAATTGTAGCTGCTGACTTAGGAAGCTGAGATTCAGGATCAAGATAGACAGGCACCCTACTCTAGGCAGACAGATCCACAAGACTATTATCCATTAGCTGAAAAAGGCAGAAATGGAGGCCTGGCTCAAGTGGTAGAGCACCAGCCTGAGCAAAAAAGCTGAGTGTTTACATATCTGTAGACTCTAGATTTACAGATATATATATGCATTTACATTAGATTAATGAAACATGAATACAAAGATTCTGCCTATGAAAACTGGAAATCCCTACTGTTTGCTGTTAGTCTGTAGCAATATAGTTGATTTTTATGTTTATATAAATATTTAAGCAATGTGTATAAAATTAAGTATGCAAATAAATAAAAAGCATTTATTCTAGTTACATTTTTGTGTATACCATAGAATTGAAAATTCAGATTCTTTGGGAAAACTTAGTGAAGTATAGTGCTTTAAGAGTAAGTGTACTAGCCGGGTGCCAGTGACTAGCTACTCAGGAGGCTGAGATCTGAGGATCATAGTTGAAAGCCAGGCTGGGCAGGGAAGTCCATGAGACTCTTATCTCTAGTAAACCACCAAAAAACCAGAAGTGGTGCTATGGCTCACTGGCCTTGAGCTGAAGAGCTGAAGGACAGCACCCAAGCCCAGAGTTCAAGCCCTACAACTGACAAAAAAAAAAAAAAAAGTAACTGTACTGAGAAAAGCAATGCACACCCAAAGAGATTGTGTCTTCAAATGAGTTCTCATGTTAAATGAATAAAGGATAGAAATCATAGATAGGCTTTCTTTGTGTGTCTTACATAGACGAGAGCCCAAAGATCTTCAAAGGGAAGGCCTTACTTGGCTCTTCATGAAATGATTGACAAGTGAACTGGGCAGTCACAATATTTGGGAGGCCCAAAGAGGAGGATTGTGAGTTTAAGTGCAGCCTGGGCTCTACTTAGGGAGCTCTAAGCCAGTCTGAGTTATATAGTGAGATGCTATATCCAAAGAAAGAGAGAGGATCTGTGATATGTATGTAATTTAAAAGTTACTTAGCCAATCTTTTCAACCTTAAAAAGTATGCCTGGCACGGGATGGGAAGGTGGCTCAGTGGTAGAGTGCTTGCCTAGCATGCATGAAGCCCTGGGTTCGATTCCTCAGCACCACATACACAGAAAACGCCAGAAGTGGTGCTGTGGCTCAAGTGGTAGAGTGCTAACTTTGAGTAAAAGCAGCTCAAGTACAGTGCCCAGCCCTGATCTCAAGCCCCAGAACTGGCAAAAAAAAAAAAAAAAAAGACAACAACAAAAAAGTCTAAAAAAAAAAAAAGTATGCCTGGCAGCCAAGCGCTAGTAGCTTACGCCTATAATCCTAGCTACTCAGGAGGCTGAGATCTGAGGATGCTGTTCAAAACCAGCCCAGGCAGGAAAGTCTGTGAGACTCTTATCTCCAATAAACCACTCAGAAAACGGGGAAGTGGTGTTGTGGCTCAAGTGGTAGAGTGCTAGCCTTGAGCTGAAGAGCTGAGGAACAGCACCCAGGCCCAGAGTTCAAGCCTCACAACCAAAAAAAAAAAAAAAAAAGTATGCCTGGCACCAGTAGCTCATACCTGTAATTCTAGCTACTCAGGATGCTGAGATCTGAGCATAGTGGTTCAAAGCCAGCCCAGGCAGGAAAGTCCATGAGACTCTTACAACTCCATTTAACCACCAGAAAACCAGAAGTGTTATGGCTCAGAGTGGTAGAGCACTGTCCTTGAGCTGAAATGCTGAGGGACAGCACCTAGGCCCAGAGGTCAAGCCCCATGACCAACAAAAAAATAAAAATAAAAAAATAAAGGGCACCAGGCTGGTGGCACATGCCTGTGATTCAAGCTACCTGAGAGACTGAGATTGAGAGGATTGTGGTTTGTGGCCAGCCTGGGCAAAAAGTGAGACCCAGCACTTGGGAGGATCACAACTTCAAGGTCAGCCTGCGCTACTACACAGTGAATGTGAGACCAGTCTGGGCTACCTAGCAAGACTCTGTCTCAAAAAAAGAAAAAATTGCTGTTGCTAGTGGCTCATGCCTGTAATCCTAGCTACTCAGGAGGCTGAGATCTGAGGATTGTAGTTCAAAGCCAGCCTGGGCAGGGAAGTCCATGGGACTCTCATCTCCAATTAACCCCCAGAAAACCAGAAGTGGCTCAAGGTGATAGAGCACTAGTCTTGAGCGATAAAGCTCAGGGATAGGAAGGAAGGAAAGAAGGAAGGAAAGAGAGAGGGGGGAGGGAGAGAGAGGGAATGAGGGAAGGAAAAGTAAAGAAAAAGAAAAGAAAAGAAGGATAGAATAAATAATTATGGGATGAGAATGTGGCTTAGTGGTAGAGTGCTTGCTTAGCATGCATGAAGCCCTGGGTTCAATTGCCCAGTACCAAATATACAGAAAAAGCCAGAAGTGCGCTGTGGCTTAAGTGGTAGAGTGCTAGCCTTGAGCAAAAGAGGTTTAAGGACATTGCCCCATCCCTTAGTTCAAGCCCCAGGACTAGCAAAGAAAAAAAAGAAAAAAGAAATAATTATGGTAAAGTTGCATGTAGTAATTTTGTTTCATCATTTTTGCATAATACAACTGTAGTATTTTAAATCATGTGTTATACTAAACTGTAAGCAAAATTACGAACTGTTGGCTGTTGATTTTAGTGAGGATTTTCTCTTCCCTAAATAATTCTATTTATTGTTATATTAGAATAAAATACTGAAGAGTTACATTCATTTCTCTTGTTATTGTTGTATGTAATCTTACAATGACTAGTAAGATACATTTATTTTCTAGATTGATGACATTGTAAAAGCTGTTGGTAACTGCAGCTACAACCAGCTAGTGGAGAAGATCATCTCTTGTAAGCAGTCAGACAACAGTGAGCTGGTTAGTGAAGGTGGGTGAGTGCTCCTGCTATTGGCTTGTTTAACATGTGACACAGCAGATTATATCTATATGGTTTCATGTAATGCACTGTTTCAAAAAGCAGTTTATTAGTAATACTCAGGTCATCTGTCAATCTCAAGGTACAGATAGCTATTGTTAATACTAAAAGTATTAACTAAAGGTCAAACAAACCTGATAATATATTTAAAATAATTTTATATATGCAATGATATATTACAAAAATAATATTACTACTGGACACTAGTGGCTTATGCCTGTAATCCTAGCTATTCAGGAGCCTGGGATCTGAAGATCATAATTCAAAGCCAGGCCAGGCAGTTAAGTCCAATGAGACTCTTATCTCCAGTTAACCACCAGAAAACCAGAAGTGGTACTGTGGCTCAAAGTGGTAGAGTGCTAGCCTTGAGCAAAAGAGCTCAGGGACAGAGCCCAGACCCTGAGTTCAAGCCCCATGACCAACAACAATGACAAAACAACAACAGCAGCAATAGCAAAACTTTTTCTGGCCATCAACTAACAATAATTATTTTTTTTATCAGTTGGTAACTTTGTACTTAAAAAGTAACTATAAAAAATGGAGAAATGTCTTATTTCCTAAAACATAAACTCAAGCAGTTGCATGTGTGTTCTGTGAATTTCCTTTGGTCTAGCCTCCTGATAGCTTTTATACTTTCCTTCCTTAGCTAAGTTTTTGGCAGAGTGTGCCATGTTGGTAACATTTAACAAGTGCTTCTCAGCGTAAAGTGCTGTGGCTTCCAAAACAAGAGATTTCTGTTTCTGACCTTGATATAGGTATACAAAGAGCAGCCCATATTGGAAGCTAGGATGAAAATGCCATTTCTGTTTTGTCTTCTGCCTACTTTTAGTTTTAAGGCAAGAACTGAACAGTTTGCAACTTGAGAGTTATCTAGTGTCTTTGCTAAAATCTTAAGCAATTCAATATTAAGGCTACTTTTAATTTCTAAACATCTAGCCATTGGGAAAGTAGTTGTTAGACATAACTCTTTCCCTCTTACTTAAAGTTACTAATTCCTACTTTTTTAATTTAATAGGGTTTTTTTGTTTTATTGTATCTGTGTCTTATTATATGGTGTTTGAAATCCTCTTAGTAGGTGAAGAATAATGATTATTCATAACAATCTCATACAGCCATTTCTTTCAGATGGAATGGCTTTAGATACAACTTGCATAGAAAAATTAGAAGATGAATGTTCAATTTGGGGACCCTCATAACTGAAAAAGTCTTATATTAATTGATCTTTCTACAAACTTGGGAAATAATATATTGAAAAATAACTGTGATTTTGAAATTATTCTTCCATCTGATATATATGCATTGGTTCTATAGGTTTTGTTGCTGAGCAGTTTCTAAATAACACAGCTACTCAGCTGACGTACCATGGATTGTGTGAGCTCACGTCAACAGTTCAGGAGGGAGAACTGTGTGTGTTCTTTCGGAATAATCATTTTAGCACCATGACCAAATACAAGGTATGGGATACACATAGAGCTACTTAATGGTTATTCTCAACCAAAAGAGCATGATTTAGACATGGCCTTTTTATCTACTTCAAAATAAAGGATTTTATCATAATATTCTTTGAAGATCAAATTTTGAAGGCAATTATTATACACTTCTTTAGATGGTATAAATTAGCAATTGAAATATTAACCTCAAATCAGGTGTTTGTTTCTTTAATTCTCGTGCCCTTTTCACAGATTGCCACATTATGAAACTATTAATTTATTTTTATGAAATCTGGTGCATTCAGGGTGGTATGGGCAAAGTCAATAGTATGTATTTATTTATTTAGCTAGCTAGTCCTGAGGCTTGAACTCAGGGCCTGGGCACTGTTGCTGAGCTTCTTTTGTTCAATGCTGGTGCTCTACCACAGTGACACTTTCGGCTTTTTATTGGAGATAGGAGTCTCAGGGACTTTCCTGCCTGGGCTGGCTTCGAAACATAATCCTCAGATCAATCTCAGCCTACCAAGTAACTAGGATTACAAGTGTGAGACACTGGCACTTGGCTCTTCTTTATTTTCTGAAACAAGATTTCATTATGTAGCCTAGACTGGCCTTGAACTCATGATCCTACTGCCTGAAACTTCTGAGTGCTGGGCTAAAGTATTTATTTATTTATTCATTTATTTTCCAGACCTGTATTCTGGGCCTTTTTGTTCAAGGCAAGCACTTTATCAGTTGAGCCACTGTGCCACTTGTGGGGTTTTTTGTTTTGTTTTGTTTTGTTTTTGATTAGTTTATTGGAGGTAAGAATCATGGAATTTCCTGCCCTGGCTGGCTTCCAGCCATGATCCTCAGATCTCAGCCTCCTGTGTAGCTAGGATTACAGGTATGAGCCACCAGTGCCGGCTTATTATATATATATTTTTTTAATTTATTCTAATTTAATTTTTTTTTATCGGTCGTGGGGCTTAAGCTCTGGGCCTGGGTGTTGTTCCTGATCTCTTCAGCTCAAGGTCAGCACTCTACCACTTGAGCCACAATGCCACTTCTGGTTTTCTGGTGGTTAATTGGAGGTAAGAGTCATGGAATTTCCTGCCTGCACTGGCTTCGAACCATGATCCTTAGATCTTAGTCTTCTGAGTAGCTGAGATTATAGGTGTGAGCCACTGGTGCCTGGTTAATATTATTTTTGAAGAAAGGGAAAAAAATCTTAAAAATAGAACTAGAGTGACTTTTAATTATATTTATATTTGAGCACTAACATAGCACTAAATTAAAAATTAACATTTGTCTTAAAATGGATATGGTGTTATGTTTCTGTAATCCAGTCTGAGGCAGGATTGCAAGTTCAAGACCTGCATGGGCTACATAGCAAGACCCTATATTAAGAAAAAAGTTTTACTTAAAGTTATCTTGGTGATTTAAAATTATTCTTATAGATTGCTCTGGGGGGAAAAACCTTTATTATTCAACCATTCCATTGTCTCTTGCATTCTTCTCTTTTGTTTTACAGGTGGCCCTTAGTTAAGGAATTTATTAGTTTTTATCTAATGTCTGTGGTAGAATACTGCTCATACTATGTCAGTATTATAGCATGTATGTTCGGTAGCAGCCTGAGCCCAGAGGATATCCCTGGGCCAGCTCTGCTACAGCCAGAGCCATGTCCAGTCACTGACGATCCTCACCCCATGCACAGCGTATGCTTTCCTATACCTCCACTTTTATCATCACTCTTCTTTCCCTCTCAGACTCTAGATAGGAAGCATATCTGTGCGCTTGGAGAAACTCCATTTACCATAACCTAATATTATCTATTGTTAATGAAGCATCTCAAATACTCTGTAGTATTCTTACTGAGTCTATTCTTATAAATTAGTGCTTACCTCAGATTGTATGCTAGACCTACCTGGTAGCTTTTCAAAAGTATCAATGCATAGAACTTACCATTCACAGGGGCTGGGAAGGTGGCTCAGTGGTAGAGCGCTTGCCTTGCATGCCTGAGGCCCTGGGTTCAACTCCTCAGCACCACATAAGCAAAAAGAAAAAAGCCGGAAGTGGCGCTGTGGCTCAAGTGGTAGAATGCTAGCCTTGAGCTGAAGAGCTGAGGGACAGCACCCAGGTCCAGAGTTCAGACCCCACGACCGAACCCCAGAAAAAAAAAAAAAAGAACTTACCACTCACTCAATTAAATCAGAATCTCTGGAGGAGGCAGGACCTGAGATGAAATCTCAGATGGAACCCAGAGCTTTGCACATGGTAAGCAAGAGCTCTACCACTGAGCTGCACTGCCAGATCTGCATTCGTGTTTTCAGTGCTCCAGAGGTGACTATTTTGCATCTGAGGCTGAGGACCTCTGTGCTTACTCTCTTGTAGCTGCTAGAGGCCAGCTTATCCTTGTTTAGCCCTTATTGATTAGTTCATAGTTACTGATTTGCTTCCTGTGAAAATGCATCTTTGTTTTCTAAATGAAGGTAGATTATTGAAGTCATACATCACATCCTCCTGTTTACTTCAGTGCTTCAATATGAATTACACAGGATAGAATGAAAGCAAACCCTAGGGCCCTAGCTCTCCTGCTACTCCCTTACCTGTAGCAAGAATCTGTTTGCATTGCTTCATCATTCTATCTAGGCATGTGCTAGGTTTGTAGGCCAACAGTCCTCCATACTGCTCAGATATCTAAAACCAAAGGTCTTTTAAAAATTAAGATCAAGCTGAGTGCCAATGGCTCACACCTAATCCTAGCTACTCAGGAAGCTGAGACCTGAGTATCACAGTTTAAAGCCAGCTTGAACCAAAAAGTCCATGAGACTCTTATCTCCAATAAACTACTCAGCAAAAGCCTGAAGTGGTATTGTGGCTCAAGTGGTAGAATGCTAGCCTTGAGCATAAAGCGGCTCAGGGACAGCGCCTAGGTCCTGAGTTCAAGCCCAAGACCAGGAAAAAAAAAATCAGGATCAAATGGCTGTAAACCCTTTGAGACTACAAAATAGATATCTTGCTATTTTATTTATTTATTTATTTATTTTTGGGTCTGGTCATGAGGCCTGAACTCTGGGCCTGGGCGCTGTCCCTCAGCTTTTCAGCTCAAGGCTAGTGCTCTACCACTTGAGCCACAGCGCCAATTCCGGCTTTTTTCTTTTTGCTTATGTGGTGCTGAGGAATTGAACCCAGGGCCTCATGCATGCAAGGCAAGCGCTCTACCACTGAGCTACCTTCCCAGCCCCCTATCTTGCTATTTTATACTGCAATTACAAAAGAAGTATCAAGTAATCTGTCGTTTGTGATGAATCTATTACAGATTTTTCTTTTTTCTTTTTTCTTTTTTTTTTTTTTTTGGTCAGTTGTGGGGCTTGAACTCTGGGCTTGGGTGCTGTCCCTCAGCTCTTCAGCTCAAGGCCAGTGCTCTACTGCTTGAGCCACAGTTCTACTTCCAGTTTTTTGAGTGGTTTATTGGAGATAAGAGTCTCACAGACTTTCCTGCCCAGGCTGGCTTTGAACCATGATCCTCAGATCTCAGCCTCCTGAGTAGCTAGGTTACAGGGGTGAGCCACTGGCGCCCGGCACAGATTTTTCTTTAAATGTCAAAATCTAAAGAAGGAAGAAATGGAAGATGACTATGAGAGAACAGGTTGGCTACATTACAAAAGGAGATTTTTTTTTAAGCTAAAACTTCCAAATATTGTATTGATACACTGTGAATGATACCAGCTTTCAATAGAAGCCCTTCCAGAATTGATCTACCCCTAAGTCCCTTTGAGAAAAATCATTTGTATTTTGGCTATTGATCAGCCAATCAAATTTATGATCTGTATAAATTATGAAGTTTAGGAATACATAAGAATATGAATAGTAGTAAAATAGTAAACATTGTATTAACCAATAAGAATTCTGAGCAGAAATTGGGAGCTGGTGGCTCACACCTGTAATCCTAGCTACTCAAGAGGCTGAGATCTGAGGTTTGTGGTTTGAAGCTAACCCAGGCAAAAAAAAAAAATGTCCCTGTGAGACTCTTGCCTCTAAGTAACCACTCAAAAACTGGAAGTGGAGCTATGACTCAAAGTGGTAGCGTACTAGTGATAAAAAAAAGCTCAGGGACAGTCTCCAGGCCCTGAGTTCAAGCCCCATGACTGACCAAAACAAAACAAAAACAACCAAAAAAATCTCTGAGCAAGTATCCAAAAGTCATATCTTCTGTAAATTGAAGACCAAAATGACTGGCAGACTATGTATAGTATACCAAAGAATGTAAATTTTAAATATTATTGATATCAGAACTATCACATATAAAAATTTAAAGGTCAGTGCTAATCTCTGACTGAATGTACCTTATATTAGGCCTATGGATTCGCAAATTTTTAATACATGGCTTAGGACTGGAGATGTACTTCAGTGGGCCTTGTCTTCAATTCCTAGAACCAAAACATGAAAGAAAAATATAATACAGGGATAAAGGCAAGAAAGCAATCTTAATACCAGGGGATTTGGTACTATGATGCAATAGGTACCAAATATTTTCAATGTGTAAAGCAAGAACAATAGTGGAAAAACAGAGGAAGGAAACATTGGGATGGGTTAGATTAGTTAGAAAGGCTTAACTTGAAAAAAGAAAACAAAATCAGACAATGTGGATCATTTTTAGCAACTGTTACCCAGGAATTTGTTTAGTGATTTTTTTTTTTTTTGTGAAATGAGATTAATACCTCATCACAAAGCTGTTTCTTTTTTTTTTTATTATTATTATTTTCTTTTTTTTATTGTGAAAATACTGTACAGAGGAGTTACAATTACATGGGCAAGATAATGAGTACATTTCTTATCAAGCATTGTAGCCTCCTCCTTTGTTTCCCCTTGCCATCCCTTCCCAGCCTCTCCCCCACAAAGCTGTTTCTAAGCCAAGTATTAATATATAAGTCATGTAGTAGTATGCCAAGAGATTTTCTTTTCTTTTCTTTTCTTTTCTTTTTCTCATTGGTTGTGGGGCTTGAACTCTGGGCCTGGGCGCTGTCCCTTAGCTCTTCAGCTCAAGGCTAGCACTCTACCACTTGAGCCACAGCACCACTTGTGGGTTTTTTCTGGTTATATGGTGCTGAGGAATCGAACCCAGGGCCTCATGCCTACAAGGCAAGCACTCTACCACTGAGCTACCTTCCCAGCCCAAGATTTTATTTCTTTCTATATTGTATTGTGCTTATTATAATCTACATTCAAAGCCAGATGACTCAGTAAATAAGATATCTACTTGGTCTTTTATTGTGTTATACAGATATGACTGGTAAGAATAATATACTTTAAACATACAGATTACATTTTTTCTTAAACATAATGTTAGCTAAATTTGGTGACTTTAACCCTCCTTTTTCTTTTGCTATTTCTTATGTAGGGTCAGCTGTATTTGTTGGTAACAGACCAGGGGTTTCTTACTGAAGAAAAAGTGGTTTGGGAAAGTCTGCACAATGTAGATGGTGATGGCAACTTCTGTGACTCAGAATTTCATCTTCGGCCTCCCTCAGATCCTGAAACTGTGTACAAAGGACAGCAAGATCAGATAGATCAGGTAAAATTGTTTTGTTCTTATATTTCTTGAGCCTGGAATGGGAAGTTACAACTACTGTGCAGGAGGATCACTTAAATCCACAAGTTCCAGACCTACCTGGGCAATAGCAACACAGCAAAACCTTGCCTAAAAAAAAAAATTAAATTAAAAAAAGTATATATATATATTCACTTATCTAAACTTTTGGACTAAAGAAGCTTTCAGTACTTTACTTGTGAGACTTTCTTGACATGCTTCCTGAATGGGTTAGTGATCATTTTCTCTCTCTATATATGTATACATTAATTATACACTTTGGTTCAAAGAAGATCATGATCAGGAATTTGGACTATTTTTAGTGTAATAGGACAGCTGTGGTAAGTGTTAAACACGGAGGGGGCATGATCTGCTTTACATCTTACAAGTCTGCTATGTGGAGGATGCCCAGCATGGAACAGGTAGAAGCAGAGACCAGCAATCTGAGATGGACTGTGGCTTAGTTGGCAGGGGGAGACAATGAGATGAGCATATATTTGAGATGTATTTTGACTAGCCAGAAGAAAGCAGAAAGGAGTCGAGAAGGCTGAGATCTTAGGACCATAGTTCAAAGCCAGCCTAGGCAGGAAAGTCTGAGATTCTTATCTCCAATGAACCACTAAAAAGCCAGAAGCAGAGCTGTAGCTAAAGTGGTAGAGCACTAGACTGTGCACAAAAGCTCAGGGACAGCACTGAGTTCAAGCCCCAGGACTGGCACAAAAAAAGAAAGGGAAGTGGCACTGTAGCTCAAGTGGTAGAGGACTCACATTGAGCTGAAGAGCAAAGGGACAGCGCCCAGGCCCAGAGTTCAAGCCCCATGACCGACAAAAACAAAAAAAGAAAGGAAGAAAGAGAGAAAGAATGAAAAAGAAAGAAAGAAGGCAGGCAGGCTGGGAAGGTGGCTCAGTGGTAGAGCGCTTGCCTTGCATACATGAGGCCCTGAGTTCGATTCCTCAGCACCACATAAACAAAAAGAAAAGAGCCAGAAGTGGCGCTGTGGCTCAAGTGGTAGAGTGCTAACCTTAAGCTGAAGAGCTAAGGGACAGCGCCCAGGCCCAGAGTTCAGGCCCCACAACCGGACCCAAAAAAACCCAAAAACTAAAAAAAAAAAAAAAAAAAAAGGAAGAAAGGAAGGAAAAAAGAGCAGGTAATTACAGCAAGAATTATACTAATGAAGCCAGGTGCCAGTGGCTCACACTGTAATTCTAGCTATTCAAGAGGCTGAGATCTGAGACTCGCATTAACAAAGCCAGCCTGGGCAGAAAAGTCTTCATGAGACTCTTATCATCAATAAAAACTATTCAAAAAAGGTGGAAGTGGTACTGTGGCTCAAGTAGAGCACTAGCTTTGATCACAGAGGCTCAAGCACCCAGGACCTGAGTTCAAGCCTCAGGACCAGCAAAAAAAAAAAAAAAGTTGTACTAGTGAATACACTTCAGTATAAATAGCGTCTGGCCTTTTGGCTGTTATAGATGTGCAGACTTGAGCCATACCATACTAATTCTGAAAAGTATGACATTGATATGAATTCTGTAATTAAGGCATATGATGTTTCTGAATACCGGACACACACACAGTTTACTAAGACCAATTTAATGGCATAGAGACTATTCATTTGGCCACTATTCAGTGAGCAATTGTATAAAAAGTCTTAAGGACACAGCCATTTATATCTTCAAAGATGTAAATGGCAGAGAAAGCAAAGAAAGACCAACTAACGCTCTTATGTTTAGTTCGTGGAGTTTGAATAGAAAGCTATTAATAGAGAAATACTGAATTCACCTCACCACTGACCTTCTGGGATTCTTTACTTTTTTTGAAAACAGTTGGGTTAGTGTAATTTATTTGCTTTCAGAAAGCTAGATGGGACATTATTTTTAAAATATTACTAAGAGACTTGGAATCTTTTTAACACTGTATGCAAAACGTATTGGAGCAAGCTGGGTGCCACCTGTAAAAGTGACACCTGTAATCCTAGCTACTCAGGTGGTTGAGACCTGGAGGATCATGATTCAAAGACAGCCCAGCAGAAAAGTCTGTTAAGACTCCATCTCCAGTTATCCAGCACTGGCTGGAGTCATTATCAAATGGTACAGCATCAACTGAGTGAGTAAGCTGAGTAAACACCAGGCCTGAATTCAGGCCCTAGTACTAGCAAGCATGAATGGGTACCTGAAAGTAGTAAAGAAGGTGGATCCAGGACCACCTGCATTTGAAGAACTGAGGAGAACCTTTGGGAAACATTGTGTTTTTCTTTTTGATACCAGTACTGGGGCTTGAATTCAGGGCCTTGCACTCTCTCTTGGCTCTCACACAAGGCTGACTGTCTACCACTTGCGCAACACATTCACTTCTGCCTGGGCTGCCTTTGACCTTGGCATGCCCCTCCCTTTCCCTCCCCAGTGCAGGTTTTATAGGCGCGTGCTCTATGCTTACTCCATTTTATTTTTTTTAAAGAACCATTCTCAAAGCATTACAGAGATAGCGAATGTATTGGCATTCACTAGTTCTTGGTAAAACCTCAATTCTTCAGGACTATCTCATGGCGTTGTCTCTACAACAAGAGCAGCAGAGCCAAGAGATCACGTGGGAGGAGATCCCGGAAGGCGTCAGTGACCTGGAACTAGCCAAGAAGCTCCAGGAGGAGGAGGATCGCCGTGCTTCACAGTACTACCAGGAGCAGGAGCAGGCAGCAGCCGCGGCCACACAGGCCCAGGTATAAGTTAGTGCCAGGGGCTGGGAAGGTGGCTCAGTGGTAGAGCGCTTGCCTTGCATGCATGAGGCCCTGGGTTCGATTCCTTAGCACCCCATAAGCAGGGAAAAAAAGCCGGAAGTGGCGCTGTGGCTCAAGTGGTAGAGCGCTAGCCTTGAGCTGAAGAGCTGAGGGACAGCGCCCAGGCCCAGAGTTCAGGCCCAAGACCTGATCCAAAAAAAAAAAAAATAATAAGTTAGTGCCATGCTCCTGTGTGACTCACTTTGCCAGTGACATGCTCCTCCAGACAGAAAAATCGAACCAGCTGTTAACTCAGCTGCCTGGTGGCTTTTTAGCACCCAAGGATATTTGACATTGCCCTACATTTAAGAGTTTTCTAATACATTTCTCACAAGAATTATTTTCCCCAAATTCCAATGTCTAGGTTTGCAAATTAATTTTTAAAGTTCACCCAGAGGTACAAATGGAAGAAAGACACTTGGGCACATGCTTCTTTTCTTTCTGTGAGGTGGAGGGATCTGCCTTGCTTTTCTTTTGAGCCTGGAATTATGTGAATATGTGTGCACAGATCCCTGCTTCTCCTCTCCCCCCTTCAGCCTCACCCCCCCAACCCCTGCAATCCCACTACCTCTTTTGGGTCCTCAGGATCCTCTAAAAGATTACAAAACTTAACGCTAACGCTAGCCTTCCTGTGGAGGAACAGCTAAGGTTAGCCCTGTCCTGGTCTCCTGTACATCCCAATGCTCAAGGTTAACCCTCTCTTTCTCTTCACTCAGTTTGTGTGTGTGGCTGGTCCTGGGCTTGAACTCAGGATCTGGGTGCTGTCCTTGAGCTTCTTTTTGCTTAAGGCTAGCACTCTTCCACTTTGAGCCACATTGCCACTTCTGGTTTTCTGGGGTTAATTGGAGTTAAGAGTCTTACAGACATACCTTCCCAGGCTGGTTTTGAACTGCGATCCTCAGATCTCAGCCTCCTGTAGCTAGGATTACAAGCATGAGCCATCAGCACCTCATTCAGTGTTTTAAGTGTTGAAAATATGACTGTTACATGGCTTTCTGTGTGTTAATTATTAAATAAAAAACTATGTCCCCCCCCCCCCTTTTTTGTGGTACAAGGGCTCTACCTCTTGAGACATTCCCTCTAGTCCTTTCTCACTGGAGCCATTCTCTCTTCTTCCAGGCCTCTCTTCAAATATTTTTCCCTTATTGGCATACATTTTCATTTTGTCTGGAGCTGGTCTCAAACTGCAATCCTTCTGTCTATGCCTGTCTTATTAGTTGGAGTCTCAGTAACTCTCAGCCAGGCTGAATTTTGAGGTCCTCCAGATCTCAGCCTCCTGAGTGGCTAGGACTTAAAAGCCTGAAAGTGAACTAGTGTTGGCATCACGACCTCTTTTTCTCCTTTTGTGATCTGTTCATTATTTTATTTAATGACCTCTTAAAAGAACTATTACCAAAAGTCACTTTAACATTGTTAAAATTGTAACCTAAATGTTTTTTTAAATTCTAAGCTCATATGTGATTTCTTATTTGAAATGCCATTTATTTAGAACAGGAATGCATTAATTATATCTGAAGGGAGGTACTCCGATTCCCTGTAACAGAACAAATCCATTTGCCAAATCTTCTTTTCCACTTAGTGACGTCTTTAACCCCTGTGACTTGAGACCTGGGTTGCCCTAACTTCTCCTTCCTGTGTTTCTCCTTCATAGCAGGGCCAGCCAGCACAAGCCTCTCCGTCCAGTGCACGACAATCTGGAACTAGTGAACGGAAGCGAAAGGAACCTCGGGAAAAAGAAAAAGAAAAAGAGAAAAATAGCTGCGTCATTTTGTAAGGTTGTAGCGCTGGATTCTGTTGGAAGCACCTCTATGTCTTGAGAAAGGAACCTGCAGGAGGAAAGGAAGAAACGATCCATACCGTCTGTGCCTGACTTCCCAAGGGATTTTGTTCCTGCTTTTCAGGGGAAAGGTTGTTACTTTGTTACAATCAAACTTTTTCAAGTCACACAATACACTCTTTATGAGCTCCAGTTTCTTGTTACAAGTTGGAAACCGCTGTGTGTTGTCATTCATGAAAAATACTGCACTTGTAGCCAAATAAGCAAATCACAGCAACTTCTGTGTCATTGTGACATTCATAACTCATATCAGTTAGTAAGCTATTTTGTCTTCTGTTCTAACAGTGAATGGAGGTAATTCACTTAGTCTGATTCCTTCCTGAAATCTAAATATTGGCACAATAATTTCTGAAATTTTTACAATGTTAAATTATGATCTAATCAAGGAGAAACCAGGGGTTTAATACAGGGAGAGGGGAAGGGTAACAGGAATAATTAATCATTTGATTGTACGTTGGACTAGTTCAGCCCTTGAACAGCTTTACCTTTCTTTAGTAGTATACATTTTAAGATCTCATCTTGAGAACTGATAACGGAGCTTGGATTCAATTTAGATAGAAAAAAATTAAAGATTTGTATTTCTTTTCTGATAGCAAAAAATAATGTAATACTAATACTTATAACCTGTCCAAGTCAGATATGAATGACTTTGTAGTGTTGTAAATTTTTGAGGAATTTTGAAATCTTTAATTAGGTAAGCTGGTCCATCGTTGTATTTATTCACACTGGACGGCCTGCAAAGACAAGGTAGGAAAGCAGAGAGTTCATTGTCTACCTTTTTCTAGAATTACCTTGATCCTTAAATTTTAATCATGTTTATTACTATAAAATGACAGATACTTATTCAAACAAAAAGCACATTTCTAAATGGAAATGAGAGATAATCTGATTATAATAAAAGACTATTAATAAGAATCGGGGAGTAGATATGCATTTGGAGGCAATTATATAAAAGCAATCGTATTTTTAACTTATGAGAACCAAATAAACCTAAAACATCTTACTAGTGTTTATAGCAGTAAGAAAGAATATTTATTTAACTTTATTATGAGGCAAAACATATTTTTCCTGTATTTCTAGATATAGTTTGGAAAACTATACTTAATATAGTCCCTTTTATATGCTTTGTATTTAAAGTTTGTTTTGTTTGTTCATTTAAAAAAAAAAGACTGTTGTTGCTGCCAGTAACTGTGATTTACATTCAATGCCTCAGTAAGTTGGTTTATTTAAGTATGTCCTAATCTGAGCAACCAGTTGAAGAATATTTCTTGTAGTCTTGGGATAACAAGGACTAAACAAAATGTGGTCTAGATCTTTTTGAGCTGTGATTAACTTTCTCTATAACCCAAACCACTTATAGGATGAACATAATGTAAAAAGTAAAGTCTTATTTATGGAAAGGATATTCTAAGGGAAAAAAATGCAGGGCCAAGCTGTATCTTTTGTATCTTTCTATATCACATGTCTGTGGGTGTTCTATAAGTTGGTATTTCTTCAAATTTCTTATGCATCATGATAAATCACCAGAGTACCTGTATGGGCATAAAACTTGGAGAGAAAGTATTTTTGTGAGTCTCTTAATTACAACCCAAAATAGAGTCCATTGATAATTGGAACTGTCCATTGACATCAACCCAAGTTTATTCTTGACACTGATTGAAGACAAAAACATTTATCTTTCCCGGAACAGATACTAGTGACAGTGAATTCTATTTTAATTTTAAAAACCAACAATGAACCTTGGATAATAAAAGGCATATCTGAGGCATATTTTGCATAATGACATGCTTCTCTGTAGAAGTTGCTGTTCCATTATTTGCTATCTTACATTGTTACAGAGATTATCCTGCCATTCTTCATTCCTTCTAGAAAAAAAACACAAAAACAAACACTCAAAAACAGCAGTGCTGCTACCAGATAAATAGATGTCTGTCAATACTTAGAAGAAAACTCAAAGAAACATGCCATGTTTGTTAATTCAGTCTTTTTCTATGTTCAATTTCCAAGTCAGACTTCATTACATTCCTAGAATTCAAGAGTAATAAAAGATTTGATTATGATGGAGGGAAATTAAATTCTATTAAAACAATAGCTCACATACTACCATCTTCTCCTGGAAGATTACAAAGGATTTAGAGCTGATACGTTTTATTTTCTTATATTTTGCTCCAGACCACAACTTAGATATTCAGGCATTTCATTGCTGACTTGGGTACATAGGAATTTGATATGGATATTTTTTTAAGTTTTTATTTTATAATACTTGAAGTTGTTACGGATATGCTGCCAGCAGAAGTGAGAATTGAAACATTTTGCTTTTTACATGTGTAGACTAGATGACAGGCTTGTATGGTTACTGTGCTTTGTCTTGCTATCAAAGTGTATTCCCTAAGCATTAGTAACCAATTTTTGTTAAAAATAGCAAACGTGTCTTCATGTCTAATCCAATTATAGTGACACAGCTGTGATTTTGTGGCTTTTCCAGTACTTGAAAGCATTTCAGTTGTGCATGTTTCTCAAGCAAGTTTCTATGCCTTGTATTAACTGCAAGTCACACTGCGAGGCTGGGGATGTCATTGACGTGCTGGGGTCAATCCCCAGCCCCATTAAATCAAATAGAAAGGAAGAAACTGTGTCATGCATGTACTCACACACAGTGGTCCAGTGGGCAGAGCTGAACCAACTGTGTTAGCTGTACAATGGCTGTGTGTCGGCTGTACATGGCTGTACACCTGCACCTGTATCTGTACCATGATCTTAGGGAAAGACACTGCTTTCATGTTTAACATCACATGTTATTTCACTGAGGCGGAGTGTATAAGTGTAGGTTTTAGAATATATCCTGTTTTCATATCTCATAATTCTTGCATTCAACTACTTATCCAGTATTAGATTGTGAGCTCTTCCTTATGCGTCTTGTTAGTGGCCTGGCTAAGCAAGTTAGTATCAGAGATTTAGTCAACTGAAGCCATTAGCCATTTTGCACTCACACCAAACCATTGAGCATCCTGTTTGCAGTGAATCATAAACTCAACTACTACGGAATAGATTTTGAGAAAACAAATGTGTGAGGAAAGTATATTTGTGGTCTCTGTCCTCATGTTGGCTTATGAAGCAGATGTCTGTAAAAGCCTGGGTTGGGGCGGAAGGCAAGAATCTCCATGACCACCAACTCATCACTTATTTGAATCTTCTTAAGAAAAAAATGCAAATAGCAAATTGCCTACAATCTGCTTACCTTTCTGACTCATTGTACTGGTTATTTTAAGCTAGTATGAACTATTTGTTTTCCCTACTACAGTTTTAGTTATACAACTTACCCTGTCTCAAAATGGAACCACCTTTTTGTTCTGTCTTGCCACGGGCAGACATTCATTCTGTGCCTGGATGAGCTGTCTTCCTTCTCCCCTCCCAGTGCAGACTTTTTTGGGCCAATGACTGAGATCAGTTTTGCTTTGTTTTGTTTTTCCCAAATGCTGTGAAGAGTTGTAGAGTTATCTTTGAATATGGCATCATGTCATCCAATAATTTGAATTTGCTTTTGTGTTTGTTAGGCTATGTCACAATCAGGAGTGTCTGGGGAATCTTAAAAGTACTTAAAACTTAACTTTTCCATATCATTTCCATATCTGAAGGCCAATGTCTGAATTGTCTTTTCCCCCAGTGCTGTCAGGTTATTAAAGGGCAAAACCCAGCTTTGCCTCGGTGTGACTGACTTAGGTCTCTCAGATATCATCATTTAGGGGCTGTCTAAATGATTCATAAGGTTTTGTTGTTGGTATTTTTTTAAGTGCAAAATCTTACTTTGATCCTGTGCAATTTAAATTCCTTTTCAACACTGACTTGAAGTTATAAAGGAACCCATTAGAACTTCAGAGTTCTTCACTTCCCTGCTATTTTTTTTTTTTTTGGTCTTTTCTTACTGAGGAATTGGGAGTTTCTTAGGTGATGCTTTAAAAAATAGATTTGAAAATTAAAGGCTTCCAAACAAAATCAATTGCAAAATAGAGGCGTGTGAGGGCAGATCGCAGGATGCTGATAAGTTTATTTTGAAGACCCATCTAAATTTTAATTCATGCATGTCTGATTTAATAGTGGCGATTTAATCGTGGCATTTTTCCTGTTAAAAAGTACTAAGTTGATTTTTTTACACATATATTTTTACAGGAATGATTCTAATTACTCCCGTCTGATCTCAAGAAAATCTCAACAAACAGGGTAAAAACTTTACTTACTGCCTCAATTTCAACTTTGTTCTATTTTCCTGAGAAAGGAAAACATTTGTACTTGTCTGAGGGTTATTTTTTAGGGTGACATCCTAGATAATGTGTTAACACAAAATGGCAGAAACACAAAACTGAGGTTTCAAACCATGGTGGACTTAACAGAGACCAAATATTATTCTGTAATGTGTACTTTATCTGATATTAATTGTAAATATTTCTTCAAAACCTTTGTCACTGGCAATTTAGGAAAACTTTATATCCGTCTGCACTGTAATATCTTGCTGGCCGTAAGAGGCAAGGATGCACAAATAGAAATTGCAAGGTGATCCTGGCTCCTTCGGTTCTAGCAGTTATTTTATAGTTTCAAGTATAGTCACAAAATGAAACTGCCCACAACTCAGTGGCCTGTCTAAAAGGATAGTATTCATGGAAATACTCTACCCAAAGCAGTTACAACAAATACAATTTGTGATGGGTATTGAACTTTTAAAAATTACGTCTCAAATTTTTTCAGAACTTTTGTGATGGTTTCCATGTATTATGTGAAATAATTTACATACACTCCCCACCCCCACCCCCAGGTACTTAGTATATTTTAACTTTACAGACTTATGGCTTTTGTTAAAAGGCAGTTTTCCTCAATGAAATGACAACTCTTGTCACAGCTCCACTCACAAAGCAGGAATAATATGGCATTTCTTAGTGTTACTGCACATGAATCCCTTGAACTGAGGAGAATTAGTGGGTTGGAACATCTTTTGGGGAAGAGCACATGAAATGGAGTAATGACTTCTGAGAAGTTGTACTCTTGATTCATTGGTTTAAGAATTTGTTGTGACATACAGATCTGTGTATCAGGCCCAGGTGGCTGATTGAAAATAGATGGGCGCTTCTAACTTTTGCTCTTCCTTTCTCTGGCTATATTAAGTACCTTTTCTGCTTTTGAAATAATTCATGTTTTGCTTTATGACCAGCTTTAATTACAGTTAAAAAAAAAAAAAAGGTAAGAGCAACCCTAAAGATTAACAGGAGAAAGCATTGGAATACATGGTTTGAATAAAGACACCTAAATACGTCTAACCCAGCTTAGGGTTGAACTGATTTCTATGAAATAAATGTTTTGAATACTAATTATGCTAAACCTACTTTAAAAATTATGTCTTAAACAAGTTTCCAAAGTTTCACTTTTGGAAGATATTCCTAAAAAGACATATTGAATAGGTGGGAAAGTATAATATTACTTCTGATGAAATTATTCAGTATTAAGCAAAACTTAATGTCTGTTGTTGTACCACAAATATAGTGTCCTTGTTGGGTTAAAATGTTTTGTTTAATATACTTAAAACTGTAACCAGTGAATAACACCTGTAGTATTTTTTATTATAGATTATATTTTATTTCAATAAACTTTGATATTTAGACTAGTCTTTCTGCTATATATTTTTATCTCATTAAGCGACTTCTGACCAAGCTAGGAAGTGTGGACAGTTGGCCTGTTCACTTACATAGGAATGAACTCTAGGAATACTTAGACCAGCATTTGATAGAAAACAATTACATACAGTATCTGCAAACCTTCCCTGGGGGATGTGAGGCTTCTCTTTTCTTCTTTTTTTTTTTGGTTGGTCGTGGGGCCTGAACTCTGGCGCCTGGATGCTCTCCCTCAGCTCTTTAGCTGTAGACTAGCGCTCTCCCACTTGAGCCTCAGCCCCACTTCCACCTTTTTCTGCTTATGTGGTGCTGAGGAATCAAACCAAGGGCCTCATGAATGCAAGGCAAACACTCTACCACTGAGCCACCTTCCCAGCTCCAAGAATTTTTATTTTTGGTGGTGGAGCTGCGATTGAATACTATGCCCTCCCTTCCCACCCAGACTTTCAAAGAGCTTTTGTGTTTTGGTCTTTTTTCCCTGTTTTTTGGTTGTTTTTTTTTGGTCAGTCATGGGGCTTGAACTCTGGGCCTGGGCGCTGTCCCTCAGCTCTTTAGCTCAAGGAAAGGGCTCTACCACTTGAGCCACAGCGCCACTTCCGGTTTTCTAGTGGTTTATTGGAGGCAAGAATCTCACGGACTTTCCTGCCCGGGCTGGCTTTGAATCGTGATCCTCAGATCTCAGCCTCCTGAATATGAGTAGCTAGGATTACAGGCGTGAGCCACGGATGCCCAGCGTCCCCCTGGGTTTTTTGTTGTTTTGAGACTTGTTCTACATAGTATAGGCTGGTCTCAAACTTGTGGTCCCCCTGCCTCAGGTATGTGCCACGATACAACTGGCCTGGCCAAAGGTTCTTTTTTTTGTTTTGTTTTTTTAAGGGATGTAGTTGAAAGCACAGTGCTTGGCTAGCATGCACAAGGCCCTGGGTTCAGTCCACAGGGCTGCAATTCACAGTGCAAAAGGAACATTACGAAACAGATGACTTCCCATCAGAGAGGTGGACAGGACAGTAACGGCTTGGCTGCTGGTTGAGGTTCTTCTGAGTATCATGTTGTGCAGGACAAGAAAGTGTCATATGACCCATATGACCCAAGTCACAAGCAGAAGCACCTGAGCTACAGGCAGGCTGGGGGCACTTCCTACAAAGGGCTAGGCATCAGCAAGTAAACCGCACCGCCACCCACACACCCATCTCCCAGTTATAGGGCAGAAAGACTATAAAATACACAGAGCAATAGAAAAGATGTCAGTGCTCACCTAGGGCCAAAGAATAGCTTTCAGAGGTTATAACCCCCCAGCACTGAGAAGTCTGTTCCAGCTCATAGGGCAGGGACAGGCACTAAGATGAACTTCTAGAAGATGCCCTCATATCCTTAGGACAGGAGCAGCCTCAGAGCAACACCACATCCCTTTCACTCTTCATGGGTACCACACTAACGCACCAGGAAATACCGTGGGGACTGCTCATCACTGATTCTATAAGACGACGGGGACGCTTGCCCGAAAGAGGTGTTTATTAGTTTCATGGTACTCACCATGAAAGGCTTTCCCAGAAAAGATGCCTTAGAAAAAAATGCCACCAGCTCTCAGGGCAAGATTCTAACCTTACAACCGACTGTGCCGCCTGCACGAAAGGCAAAAGCAACATTTATTCTCTAGAAACCATAACCAAGGCCTGCTGGAAACAAAGACACATACGCTTGAGGTGTGGACCTTTATTTTCACAAAAAGACAACAATGTCTTTCCACATACAAGTATTTACAAAACCCAACTGATTCACCAATCTAGAATCTGGGTTGGTTTGTTTTCCACTTCTCAACATAGTTGGGAATATGGAAACCTTAATACCCACACAATTCCTAGAGATGGAATTCATCCATCAAACAGTGCAGATTAGCTGAAAAGTGCACTTACCTGCACATCTCAGTCTAAAAAATAAAACCTCGCGATACAAAGCTCAGGGCCAAGATTTCATTCATCTATTTGGTTTCATACCATGCAAGCCTGACAAAATGTGCTGCTACCCTAAATCTGAAAATTGGTCTCAATTTACAATTAAAAAGCTTCTCAACACCTTAGCAACTATACAGAATAGGAAGGTTTATTTCAAAAAAGGTTACATTTTCTTTGAAACAGGATACACAGATGTACTTAATGTAACAGTACCTTCTGCAAAAATAGGTTACATAATACTCAAATGCAGAAACAATCTAAGATTTACATGGCAGACTTCTTCAGCTTCGCCAGCCTTTAAAACGAAGGCTAAAATGCTTGATGATGAAAAACTCTAGAGCCTGACACCACAGACCTAAGGCTGCAAACTACTCAGATGCTTTCCTTCCATCTTGCCAAATGTGTTGTTGGTGCTGCAGGAAAAAAAAAAAAGTCGAATGGTACACAAAACTATGAAAAGTTACAACAGAACTATCCAAACATCATCTCTAAATAGAGAAAAGCAATCATGTTAAATTTTTATAAAAGAAAAAAAAAAAAAAAAAAAAAGGAAGGTGGACAGAATTCTTGAGCGGTCAGAGGTCCTCCTCTTCGTAAGTAGTCAAGTGAAACTTCAATAAATTATCTCGAAATCACGGCAGAGTAGCTCATTTTCAAAATCTCCGTGGAGGTCCACTCTTAAATGGCTTAAATCCAGAGCCACTTCCTCTTGGCAGGGAATTACCACTGATTTGTACAATTCTATGAAAAGAATGTCCAAAGAACAAAATGTAAACTATCAAAAGCAAATACCTATTCATGCTTCCATTTGCCAAACATTGCTCTGTGCTTGGAACTTTAGCTACCTGCACTCACCCTTTCCCCCAGACCTGTGAGGTGCTACCGTGCTACCTGCATCCTGCAGGAAGAAAAATGGCCAGGTCAGAGAGCTAGTTAGCACAGGGGGTGGGAATTCAAAGCTGGGGGGCAGTACCCTCTTTCGCACACATTTGCTGTGGGATATGAATGGACAGGCTAGAGTATAGCAATGCTTCTCAAAATGTGTGCCCCAGACCTAAATTTCAGTGGCAGCCAGGAAATACAAATGCTCAACCTCAGCTTGCTTCTTCCTCCCAACCACCCCCCCTGTTTTTTTTTACCTCGTTGGGGGTACTGGCACTTAAGCTCATGGGCTTATACTTGAATGTCACACCAGCCCTTCATATGCTTTATTTTTCAGCTAAGGACTTGATTGGCCTCAAATCTTAATCCGCTCAGTATCTGCCTCCCAAAAGTAGGTAGCATTATAGGCATGAACTACTTTGGCTATTGTGAGACAAGGTCTTGCTTGGCAGCTCAGGGTGACCTGCCCGAGCCTCTGCATTCAGTGTGGATGCTCCCATCACACACCATTCCACCACACAGCATGCATAGAAACTCTGGGATGCTACTCTTGGCATCTGTTTTCCTAAGTACCTGAGCAGATCCTGCTCTATGCTAGAGCCTCCCACTTTCAGAAAGGCATTCAAGAATTACTTTTGAATTCTTTCTGTACAATGCAGTATAGGCGATGCTAGAATGGCACAGACAGCAGACCAACATTACCCCCCCAAGACCCTGGAAAAACTAGGAGCTAAAAGCCCATGATGAGCCAGGCACTGGCGGCTCATGCCTATAATCCTAACTACTCAAGAGACTGAGATCTGAGGATCACGGTTTGAAACCAGCAGGGGCAGGAAAGTCCATGGGACTCCTAACTCCAATAAACAACCTAAAAAATAAGAAATGGAGCTGTGGCTTAAAGTGGTAAAACACTAGCCTTCAGCAAAAGAAGCTCAGGACTTGAGCCCCACAACCAACACTGCCCACCCCATCCCTCCCCCTGCCCACCCCCCAAAAAAAAAGAAAAGAAAAAGCCCATGATCAAACAGTTTTAAGTAGAACACAAACTGACTACAGGAAATGAAGGTTCGAATGCCAGGATCCAGTGATCTAAGGCAGCCACATATGAGTTAGGACATGGTAAAGGAAAGAAAATATGACTAAGAAAGCAGAAAGAAGGCTGGCATGGGAAGAGCACCTGGAGGCTGAGAGTGGAAAAGGGAGAGCTATTAGAAACAAAATCTATGGCAGGTCTAAAGATCAAGAAAAGCCTCATGTTTCTGCAAGAGGGGGGAGTGAGGTGGTGGTTGGTGGCAGCAGTGGAATAAAAAAGCTAGAGGCAACTTGTGACACAGGGGGACAGGAAGGTCGGAAGGTCTGAAACAGGAGGAGAATGAGTGAGTCTGCGATCTCAATTTTATGGAGACAGTGGAGGCATTTGTGTGGAGAGGGCAATGGGCACCAGCATCTCCTGTCAGACAAGGGTCGGGAAGGAAGAGGAGGCTGGCTGAAGGACCACGCCTGAGACCGGTGTGAAGAGGAATTATTACAGTCTGCCTCGTTAGCTTAGGAGCCAGCTTTAGGTTAAATATCAAAGTTTTGCTAGTTATTTTGAAAACAGGAAACAGAACATGTCTCTCCTGCCAGTTTCTTTTTCCCAGGAAATTTTAGGGATGTTCAGTCATGGAGAAGACAATCCTGGATTATGACACACAGGCATACTACATGTGGGTATTGGTCTGAAGACCCACTTGCAGGAACATCAATGAATTAACTTACTATTAAGAACACAAAATGCATTGGGGCACCAGTGGCTCCCATTTATAATCCTAGCTACTCAAGAGGCTGAAAACTCTAGATCATGGTTCAAAACATGGGTGGGAAAATCTGGGATGCTCATCTCCAATTAACCAGTAAAAAAGCTAGAAACAGAGCTGTGGCTCAAGTAGTAAAGCTCTAACTTGGAGCAAAAAAAAAAAAGCTCAGAGTGTCCAGGCCCTAAGTTCAAGCCCCAGGACTGGCACACACACACACACACCAATTACACACACACACCAATTACACACACACACACACACACACACACACCAATTAGTATCAGCTGTCTGAATACAACCCCTGGCAGACTCTGAGCTAATATGGAGAAATGTTTGCACAGATCTCTCTCATGGGAATTGCAGCAA